CCTGCTCCAGGCCCTCCTGGAGAACATGCACACCTGGACAGTGTATGGACTGACAAGGTGTGTGCGTGCACACCTGTGGGACGAGGGGGCTTGGGACTGGTCCCCTCTGCATCCAAAGATGAATAAACAGCCCAGCCAAGTGTGGATCATTGGAAACAGTCCAGCACTTTACTCTGTCAAACACTAGGGCCGAGTCTTTCCAGCTGAGGTGGGCAGGGTTGGAGCAGATGGGGTCTTGGGTGGGCGTGCCTCCATCTCTTTTCCTGTCTCCTGCATGCCCTGTGCATGCACACATATACACACACTCATGACACACACTACACAGGCCTTGAAGGTTCCTGAGGTCTCTCTGAATGTGAGCAGCAACTTAGGTCTTTGGCAGGTGTGCTGTGAGCAAGCAGGACCTTCGCTCACCCCATCCTGCATGGTGCCAGGGTACAGCCAGCCTGAGGAACCAGAACCACGGTGGGGTAGTCATTGAGGGTTGATGTGGGAATCCTGTTGGTTTCTCAGACAAGCAACACTGCCATTTGCACCGTCGGTGGGTGTGGTGTGTGCCAGGCCACTGCTGTGCTGCAGAAGTACAGGGTGGGCCCAGCCCTGGCAACCAAAGCTGTCCAGGCAGACACCTGTGTGCTAGGTGTGGGGGAGGATTCTGTTACCACGTGGCATTTGGGCCCTGAAGGCATGGGGTGGGAAAAGCTTTGCAAGTCCTGCTGGTGACCTTCCCATGGTGCCAGGAGTGGCTCTCACCAGAGGTGGGTCTCAACCCACAGGCCAGTCAGCCCTTCTAGGCAGAAAGGCAGCAGCAGGATGGGAAGCCAGCCAGCAGGGCCCTGGGCCTCCTGGCAGGCTCAGCACCTGCTGGAGCCTGACTTCCACCATCCCTTTCTCAGCTGTTATTCTAACCCCCAAGACACAAAGCCTCACAGCGTGTCCAGCTGTTTAACTTGGTCAGGCTTCTCGCCACCCAGCCTCACTGTTCTTATCTGTGAAATGGGCAGTGAAGGGATCTGTACCCAGTGGCTGAGTCTGCAATGAGAGGCTCATGATGATACAACCCTGGGCAGAGGTGCACACCTGCCTGCACCTGCACTGGCTGTTCCTCCTCTCCTTAGCATGCCTTCCCCACTTCGAAGCTGGGGAAACTGAGGCCCAGAGGAGGCCAGTGCTCTGCAGAGTCTACACAGCCCGGTGGTGCCTGATGCCAGCAGCTCTTCCCCGGCTCTCCCCCGTGGCTGACCCACCACGATTGGCTGCATCGTTTGTGGGCCCCTTGTTCTAGAATTACGAAGAATTTCAAGACTGTAGCAAAGAGCGTTAAACCAAGCATGAGACCTCTGAGCACAGCCCACTGGGACTGCCCAGGCTGCACCCCGCTGAGGCCGGCCCTGCACTCACCTCCTTCATTCTCCCACCTTGGATCATGTGTTTTTCCATCTAGAAGTGTTTGTGACAAGCAGGAACATTAAGACAGCTGTGCCCAGCTGCAGAGACCACCTGGGAGGCGAGGCATTTTAAGTGCATTTAAGTCTGTTTCTGCTCGCAATCATTGCCTGACCCACAAATCCCTTTTGGCAGCAGGGAGACCAATTGGGATGGGGCCCCCCACGATCCTGTAGGGGTGGGCTCTGCCAGATGGGAGCAGAAAGGCCCGTTCTCCCCTGCACATGTGGTCTTGTGGTGGGGGCTTTGGGAAGCCCAGACCTGTCTTATGTCTAGTCCCTGGACCACTGAAGGTACTTGAACATCATGGAGGCCCCAGAGGAGCACCTGCAGGATTCCCAGACTGGAACTGCTCCTGCCGCAGATGGGGTGTCAGGGCCCCGCCCACTCTTCTGCAGCCTGGGCATCACCAGAGCCACCGCACGGCCGCCCAAGGGCAAATGGTTCTTATTGGGAAGACCAGGACCAGAGGTGTGTGTCCCAGAGAAAACTAGACCACCTGAGCTCAGTCAGGTCCCTAGCATCCCCTCTGGGGAAAGAACACGGACCCCGCCGCCTGCGTGGATAGCCCAGACATACGACACCACATGGAATTGGGAGGGGGCTCATCAGGGGCCAGGGCATTTGGACCCTCCTCACCCTGTGAGGCCACTGTGAGTTACTATCTCTCACCCTCTTTGTCACCAGAAATGCAGCACCCCTCCCACCCCGAGGGCACTGTCATGGGAGCAATGTTCCTGATGTGCAGTGAGCACTTCAAGAGAACCCTTCTCCTGTTGTTTTCCCACTGTGGGACTCCAGACGTCTCACCTGTTCTCTTCCAGGGTCCACTTGGCATTTGATTGTTTCCCAAACCCAGATGTGTCCCGGAGGAGCCCGGTGGCCCCCGGGGGTATTCTCAACTGCTGCTGCAGACCCCGCCCTCCAGACCCCTCAGTGACCTCAAGCAGCAACTGTCTGGGTGGGAGCAAACTGATAGAAAAGAGAGATCGATTACATACAAGTGCAGTATTCCTAATGTCTGCTTTGGATGTTGGTATTGTTTGGGCATTCTAGAGTCTATTTGCAGGTTCTTAATGGATTTTAAGCATTTTTTGCCGATTTATCCATCTTTTAAAAAATTCATACTACTTTTTATTGTGGAAAAATATACACAAAAATAAGATTTACAATGTAGCTATTTTTAAGTATACATTTCAGGGACATCACCACCGTCCCTGAACTTTTCATCATCCCAAACTTAATCTCTGCCCCTATCAAACACTAAGTCCCCATCCTGTCTCCCCCAAGCCCTAGCAATCACCATCTTATGTTCTGTGTCTGTGAATTTGACTACTCTAGGGATCTTACATAAGTAGAATCATGCAGTGTTCATCCTTTTGCAATGGGCTTATTTCACTTAGCATAATGTGCTCAAGGGTTATCAATGTTAATAGCCTGTGTCAGGATTTCCCTCCTTTTTTTTTTTTTTCTCTGAGACAGGTCTTGCTCTGTTGTCCAGGCTGGAGTGCAGTGGCACAATCTCGGCTCACTGCAACCTCTGCCTTGCAGGTTCAAGCCATTCTCCTGGCTTAGCCTCTCAAGTAGCTGAGATTATAGATGCCCGCCATCGCGCCTAGCTAATCTTTGTATTTTTAGTAGAGACGGGGGTTTCACCATGTTGACCAGGCTGGTCTTGAACTCCTGACCTCAACTGATCCACCCACCTCAGCCTCCCAAAGTATTAGGACTACAGGCGTGAGCCACTGCGCCCAGCCAGATTTGCCTACTTTCTAAGACTGAATATTCCATTGTATGTGTAGACCATGTTTTGTTCATCCATTCATCCATCGATGGCCACTGGGGTTGCTTCCACCTTTTGTCTATCTTGAATAGTGCTGTTGTGAACATGGGTGTGTAAATATCTCTTTGAGACCTGGCTTTCAATTCTTTTGCATATGTACCCAGAAGTGGGATTTCTGGATCATATGGTAATTCAATTTTTAAGTTTTTGGGAACTACCTTCTTGCTTTTAATGACATAACTGTATATTATTTTCCATTCTCACCAACAATGTACATGAGTTCCAAATACTATTTTAAAAGCTTTCTACTGTGGGGAATGTTGGCCACACACAGTCAGCAGTGTAATGCACTGCACTCCTGCTTGGGCTCACCCGGCCACAGCCGAGGCCAGCATCCTGCCTTCTCCGAGGAAGCTACACCTCTGTCCACAGCGCCCTCAGTGATTCATTCGTTTTTCAGTTATTTAGGTAAAAATTATATAGATAGGCCAGGCGCGGTGGCTCACACTTGTAATCCCAGCACTTTGGGAGGCCAAAGTGGGTGGATCACCTGAGGTTGAGAGTTCGAGACCAGCCTGACCAACATGAAGAAACCCCATCTCTACTAAGAAAATACAAAATTAGCCAGACATGGTGGTGCATGCCTGTAATCCCAGCTACTCGGGAGGCTGAGGCAAGAGAATCGCTTGAACCTGGGAGGTGGAGGTTGTGATGAGCCGAGATCGCGCCATTGCATTCTAGCCTGGGCAACAAGAGCAAAACTCCATATCAAAAATAAATAAATAAATAAATAAATAAATATTAAAAATTACGTAGATAAGATGCCAGCCTGGGCAATAAGAGCAAAACTCCATATCAAAAAGAAATAAATAAATACTACATAGATAAGATGCACGGACCTTAGCTGTACAATGCAGACTAATGAATATACCCGTGTGATCTGCACCCCTCTCGGATATAGGACCTTCTCCAGAAAGTGCCCTGTGGCCCTTCCCAATCTGTCCACCTCCCCCACACCCCTGCCCGCCACAGGCAGCCAGTCTGATCCATTGCCTAATATCCATCCAGAATCGTGCCATGTGTGCTCTCCTCTGCCTGGCTTCCTCACCTTGGCATAGTGTGTGTGTGTGTGACCCATCCAGGTGTTCGTGTGTATCCATAGTTCATCCTTTTTCATTGCTGGGCAGGATTCTGTGGCGTGGCTGGACCATGGTCTGCCTGTCCATCCACCTGCTGAAGGGCCTCTAGGCTCTTGGCTTCTATGAATCATCCTTCCAGTTCCAACTATGGCATTTGATAGACATGTTTTCATTTTTCTTGAATGAATGGAGTGGAATTGCAGGGTCATGTGGTAGGCATATGTTTAGATAAAGACTTACGACTTTCCTATAAAGTGCTTTCTTCATTTGTTGGCAACTGTTGCCCGCCCTGCGTGGCTGGCAGTGTCACCTGCCCTTGAACACTCTGGCTCTGGGTGATCTGTTGAGAAGTCTGTATGGTTCGGGCGCCCTTCCGGCTTGGACGATTGAGAATAGGCTTGTCATTGAGGATACTGCCTCCCCTGTTTCCTTTTCTTTTTCTATTTTAAAGCAGTTTTTTTCTAGCCCGTGTGTAACTATACAAATAATTGAGTGTTCATGTTATCAGGAACAGAGATGAAAAACTCCTGCTAAGATCAGAATTTTAAGTTAATGATTTTGTGTGTGTGTGTGTGTGTCCTTGAAGAAGCCTTATCCTCACCATCCCTCACTCACTTCCCTACTTCCCACAGTGGCATTGGGCCTCTACTTCTCAAGGGATGCTTACTGGGAGAAGCTGTATGTGGACCAGCCGGCTGGCACGCCCTTGCTGTACGTTCACGCCCTGCGGGACGCCCCTGAGGAGGTGCCCAGCTTCCGCCTGGGCCAGCACCTCTACGGCACGTACCGCACACGGCTGCATGAGAACAACTGGATCTGCATCCAGGAGGACACCGGCCTCCTCTACCTTAATCGGAGCCTGGACCGCAGCTCCTGGGAGAAGCTCAGTGGCCGCAGTAAGGGAGCCGCCCCAACACCCACCCCTGTGCCCCACCCCACCCCTTCCTCAAGCCGCCCTCATCACAGCCACTGGCACTGAGGCTCGGGGTGGCTTCCCCACCACCCCTGCTGTGGAAAGCGTCAGGGGTTAGGTGAGGCTGGCCTGCCTCTGTGTCCAGCCTGGAGAGAAGCCAGGACAAGCTTCAGGGCTGCCTGAGGCTGTAGGAGTTTGGAGACACACGGGAATCATCTGGGTACACTCTTCTGCCAGACCGGAATCCCTCTTCCAGTGGGGCTAAAAAGGATTAGGAGGTTTCGAGAGAGGGAGTGAGTGGGACTGGAAAAATCCCAAGGTTTTGATTTAGCAAATGACCTGCAACTCTCTGGAGAAGCGGCAGTTCCCAAGGAAAGCCTGACTTCTTATCGGCAGCTGGCTGCCCTTGTACCTGGCAGGGACTTGGGCCTGTCCCAGGTGTCCAGGGAGGAAAGAGGAGCAGTCAGAGCTGGAGTCATGGCCACATGTGACATTGGTAATGGGAAGGGTGTGGGGGGGAAGCAGAGCCCCTGTGACAGGGAACAGTCACCTGGTAGTTCCCATCCCCAGCACCCCTCCAGGGCCACGACTCTCACAGCCCTCACAACTACCCTGAGCCCTGTCTGCTGGGGAGAGGCAAGCCTCGGGCTGTGAATGCAGAGCAGGCATCCCTGCCCTACCCAGGCAGAGTGACTGATCTGTCTTCCAGGGACAACCAGGGTGCAGGGGAGGGAGGGGGCTTGGGTGAGCAGCTCCCTCCAGCGCAGCCCAGGCAGTTCCTGGAGGAGGCGGCATCTGAGATAGGTCGTGGTTCCATGCACTTAGTTGCTGCCCTCTTCATCCTGCTCCCCCAGGGTGGAGCTTGAGGAACGGGAGTCCCTGGGAGGGGGCCAGCATGGAATTTGCCCTGGGCCTGCATTTCCTAGGAGGCCTAAGTCCTCCAAGGTGGGGAGAGGCTTCATGCACAGCCAGTTCCTGTTAAGGAAGAAACCACAGGGTAATTTAACAGGGAAAGTTTGTGTAAAGAATTAACTACAACAGGGGATTGGAGCAATGAGGCACAGGCTACAGGCTAGCAAAAAGTAAAGAGAATGCCAGAGTATATGGGAAGAGCAGCTCTGAGGAGCAGCCGCCCACCTAGGGCTGAGATGGAGGCTGGGAAAGCCCTCGCAGCCCAGCTGAAATGGCTGTGACACATGGGTGATGGAACTTGCCGGAAATGCCCCCCTCTAGGCATTGGGGAAGTATGTCTGTGGCCACTCCAAACCTTCTGGGGAGGATGTGGAGGGGGGGCACTGGTCACCCCTTACTGGAGAAGTTGCCAGCGTCAGAGTTGGGGAGCCTTAGACCCAGTGCTCAGCGCACCTCCCTGAGGAAGGGGCCTCTAAGCTGAAAACTGAATGATGAGAGCTAGGCCTGTGGGGCACTGGTACTCTGGGCTGCAGGGCCGTGCAGCAGAGGTAACGAGGTGGCAGGCAGAGCTGGAACACCAGGCTGAGCTTTGTGGACCTTGGTGGGGACCAGGGTTTACACCCGCCCTGGAGCTCCTGCCTCCTCCCCATTCCCAACTGCCTGGCAGGTGTGGCCGACGCCCTCACAGACCTGACTTCTCTCTGCAGACCGCGGCTTCCCCCTGCTCACCGTCTACCTCAAGGTCTTCCTGTCACCCACATCCCTTCGTGAGGGCGAGTGCCAGTGGCCAGGCTGTGCCCGCGTGTACTTCTCCTTCTTCAACACCTCCTTTCCAGCTTGCACCTCCCTCAAGCCCCGGGAGCTCTGCTTCCCGGAGACAAGGCCCTCCTTCCGCATTCGGGAGAACCGACCCCCAGGCACCTTCCACCAGTTCCGCCTGCTGCCTGTGCAGTTCTTGTGCCCCAACATCAGCGTGGCCTACAGGCTCCTGGAGGGTGAGTGCCGACCTTGTGGGGCCACCCCACAGTGCCTGCTACTGCTGGGCTTGCTCTGCGAGCCCTTGACACAGGCCATCTGGTTTATTCTTCACCTCCATGCCATCAGTTCATTCAACATTCCAGAAGTACCTCTTGCATGCCTGCCAGGGGCCAGGTACTGTTCTAGGAGCTAACGATATAACAATGAACACAACAGGTTGGAATCTTGCCTGCCTGCAGCTTTCATTCTTGTGGGGCAGACAGAGCGTCTGAGCATGCCAAGGAAATCGGGTGGCTTCTGGAAGGAGCTAGCTTCCAGAAACTAGGAAACTGGGAAGAGGGAAACGCTGAGGAGGAGGGGAACAGAGGAGGAGACCTCCATTCCTCCATCGTAAATTGGGTGGTTGGGGTGGGGGCTAGCAGAGCAAAGGTGGGAGGGTGCCGGGTAGGCAGGCCTAGCCCCTTGGAGGGCACTACAGTGTGACCCTCGTGTGCCTGGAGTGCACTGAGCTACAGGGAAGAGCTGAGGCCGATAGGGCAGAATAGTTCTGGGGCAGGGGGCAGGTCTGGGAGCGCTTTCAGGGCTTTCTCCAGAGGAACATGGGGAGCTATGGAAGACTTTGGAGGGACGGAGTGCTGGCAGGACCTGTCTTAGTTTTAAAAGGATTAGCCAGACTGCTGTGTTAGGAATGGTTTGGGGTGGGAAGATTCAGGGGTGAAGCTGGGTGACAATCAGAAGGCTACAGGAGAAACCTCTGAATAGGAGGATGTGGGCTGTGATGCCGGGATGCGGGTGTAAGCTGAGGCATGGCAAGAAGCAGGCAGCTGCCGCCAGTCAGGGGGTGGGATGAGCTGGATCCCAGCGGAGAGGGGAGAAGGCAGCTGACCCAGTGCAGGGAGGCCCCATTTGACCATCTGAAAGTCAGGAAGTGGGGCTCAACCTGCACCCCTGGTAAGTGTGTCCTCCATTCACACTATATCACACAAACATGGCAAGAATAGTAAAAATCTCAGTAAAGGAAGAAAAGCCATCACTCTTGGTTTTTTGCATGCCGCCCTTTTCCACTAAAAATTACGTCATTAAATTTAGTTTAGTAGTGTTCTTTTTGTAATCACACTTGACAGAGGAAAGCATTATATGATAAGCATTTCCCACATGTGTAATTCATGCGCAAGGCATGGTTCTGCCTGGGAGGCTTGTGGAGTTGCCCCCTCCTCCTTGGGGTTGGCTGTGGAGTCTTCAGCGGTGACCTTCCGCCTTCAGCATGCCCCCTTTTCTGGATTATTTCTGGAGGACAGATCGAGGGCAGGCTCACTGAAGTGTGTGTTGTGGTTCCTGGCCCTGCTTCAGGGGCGATGTTGAGCGCGAGCTGCCGTGCAGGGCACGGAGCATGCGCTTTTGCCTCAACATCCGGCCTTCAGAGGATGATCAGCCTGGCGACGCACTGGACAAGGAGTTGTAGAGTGGCGATGCACACTAGGCGGTCAGAAATCATTATGCATTAATGTCACATCATACCCCAGATGTCCACCGTGTTTGTTTTCAAGTGGTAGAATCGTGGCTTTATTTCTCACGTTCTCTAAAATGAACATATACATAATTGAAAAAAAAAACACTAACATTTTTTAAAAAGCAGCCAAGGTCACCAATATGGTGAAACCCCGTCTCTACTAAAAATACAAAAATTAGCTGGGCGTGGTGGCGGGCGCCTGTAGTCCCAGCTACTCGGGAGGCTGAGGCAGGAGAATCGCCTGAACCCGGGAGGCAGAGATTGCAGTGAGCCGAGATGGCGCCACTGCACTCCCGCCTGGGCAACAGAACGAGACTCCGTCAGAAAAAAAAAAAAAAAAAAAAAAGCAGCCAAGGCCAGTAGCTGGCTCTCTAGGGCCGCAGTGCAGCTTGATCTGACCCGGAGCCACCCTTCCCCACACAAGGTCACTTCCGATCGAGGCCGGGTGGACGGAGGGGTGTCCCAGTCCCTACCGGTTGCTCAGGGTGCTGGTCCCCGCTCTTCCCCACCAGCATGAGTGAGGACGCAGCTGCAGCAGGACGTAAGCGCAAACTCGTGTTCGGAGTGCTGCGCTCACCTGTGGAGCGGAGGAGGGGAGGCCTGGGTCCTCGGCTGGCGTGCGGTGTGCGCCCCGCTCTGACCGCAGAGCACCCTTCCCGAGAAAGGCGGCTGGCCCGGTCCCGGCTGGCGATCACGCGGGGCCCCTGTCTGCTTGGTGCGCAGGTGAGGGTCTGCCCTTCCGCTGCGCCCCGGACAGCCTGGAGGTGAGCACGCGCTGGGCCCTGGACCGCGAGCAGCGGGAGAAGTACGAGCTGGTGGCCGTGTGCACCGTGCACGCTGGCGCGCGCGAGGAGGTGGTAATGGTGCCCTTCCCGGTGACCGTGTACGACGAGGACGACTCGGCGCCCACATTCCCCGCGGGCGTCGACACCGCCAGCGCCGTGGTGGAGTTCAAGCGGAAGGAGGTGCTTGTTCGCGCGTGCTGTGGTCTACCCAGTGTCTGTCTCCCGCCGCAGTTCGTTTCTCTGTCAGTTTAGTGTCCGTGTAGCCACCCAATCATGTGGCCGACCATTCACGCGTTCATTTGTCCTTCGTCTCCGTGGGCCCCCTCTGTCCTAGGGGGAGGAGAAGGGGGAGTCCTGTCAGCACCCAGCGGGGCCTTGCCTTGGGAGGCTGGGAACCCTGGGTGCCCAGTCTGGGACTGACCAGGATGAGGCCCGAGGGCTCGCGTCTAGGGCACACTTGTGCCGCTGCAGGCGGGCGCGGCGCGCTGCCCGGGCGGGGAGCATCTGCCGGGAGGGCACTCCCTCCCACCAGCAGTCAGCCCCCAATGGGAGGGCCATTGAGTGACCAGGAGCGGTGCCGGGGATTGGAAAGGGACAGGAAGGCGGATCGCCGCCGGCCCGGCCCCGCCCCGCCCCTCTCCGGTTCGCGCTGATGGAGCGCCACCGCCACCTGCTGAGCCTCAGGCCTTCCTGCAACCGGCCCACTCCGCCGGGGCCGTGGGAGAGTGGGCATGGGGACTGAGGTAGTGCGTTACCTTGTGCCGCTTCTCTGGGCACACCACGTGCAGGTTTGGCAGGGAAAGGAGGTCTGACCGAAAGTACACCTTGTGAGTAAAGGCTGTGTGGGCCTCCCTGGGCCGCCTAGGGGTAACAGCAGAGGCCTGGTGCGCAGAGCCATCCCAGGTGCCCCGCAGCTTTCCTCACAACCCCCTCCAGCCTGGGGGAGGAGGATGCTTCGAGCAGAGTGCTTTGATGTACACCTGGCCTCGGATCTCGGCTCTGCCATCTGTTCCTGTGTGACCTTGACCTGACCTTCACCCTGTAGGGCCCAGCTTCCTCAGGGGAGAGTGGAGGTGCTCATTCTGCTCTCTAGGGACCTTGATGGGACCTGCCAGCAGGGTGCCTGGGCATCAGCTGTAATTCTCCCTATAAGAGGTCTACATTGCACCTGTTACACAGAGGGTCAGTGGCTCAAGGAAGGTGACTGGGCCAGGCTGGCCAGTGACCCCGTGGGAACTTGAATCTAGGTCAGACAGTCCCCATACCTGGCTCTGACAACGCACACCTGGTCCACCTGTGGGCTGCGTGGGACGTGCAGCATCCTGAGGTCTCTGGTTTTGGGGGGTCTGAGGGGCCACTCTCACCTGCACTGACCAACGCCCTCTGCATCCTGCAGGACACTGTAGTGGCCACTCTGCGTGTCTTCGATGCAGACGTGGTACCTGCGTCAGGGGAGCTGGTGAGGCGGTACACAAGCACGCTGCTCCCCGGGGACACCTGGACCCAGCAGACCTTCCGGGTGGAGCACTGGCCCAACGAGACCTCAGTCCAGGCCAACGGCAGCTTCGTGCGGGCGACCGTACATGACTATAGTAAGAGGGGCTGGTGGCATGGCCTGGCTGGGCCCCCAGGAAATGAAGTGCTCGTTCTTCATGGGCAAGCAGCACCCCACACACATGCACACCTGTCATGGCCCTCTGTGGCCCAAGCCACTTCCCCTCCACCCTCTTCGAAGCACTTCCTGTGTCTCTGCCAGGCCTGCCCTCCAGCCACCAGCAGGGCTTTCACCATGGGTCTTCTCTCCCTGAGCTGCACCATGGCCGACCCTGGCAGGGCCCTACCACACCCCCATGCTAACCTCGCCAGGGCTCACCACTGATTGCAAACATACATGTCACCTGAGGCTTTCCTCCCGCCCCTGGCACTCCATCATTGCCCCTAAGGTATCTCAAATGCTTAGGGATTATTGCTCCAGCCTTATCAGCTCTCTGCTAAACAGTCTGGTATACAGAAGCAGCCCTGAGCCAGGTCAGGGCTTCTGAGCCCATTGTCCTGCCTGACTCCTGACATGTGCCACCATGCTCACCTGCTTGCAGGGCACCTTTCAGCTGAGGCCTTGCTTCCTGCCTCCCTCCCCCACCTCCTGCTGATTTCTCCTGGGATCGCCTTCCAAATAAACCACCTGCATTAGGGGTCTGTGTCTGGGGGAACCCCGGGCCATGGGTCCTTCACCCCTTTCTGCCTGGCCTGGTCCTGTTCATTCCTCAGTCCTCCCCACTTCACCAAGCCTATGGAGGCCCCACCTGTCAGAAGGGAGACAGCCTCCTTGCCCTGGCACTGAACACCCTGTCTGCCAGAGTGCCCCTCCCATCATTGTTTCTACCGCATGAGAACTAGAGCGGCAGCACGCGGCAGGTACACGGACGGCATGACTTCCAAGGCTTGGCCTGCAGGGTCATTGGGTCTGCTGGAGGCTCCTGCAGTGGAGGGGAGTTCTCCCATGCTCTGGGGAAGCTGTTTGGAGGGCTCTAGCATGTTCTTCCCAGGGCCTTGGTAATGCAGACCTTTAAGCCCCCATGTCACACACACACATACACACACACACACACACACACATACACACACCCTGTTACCCCCAAAAAACGAAACTCTGTAAAACATTTTAAAGAGGTTTATTCTGAGCCAGGATGAGTGACCACAGCCTGGAGAAAACACAAACCCAAGAAACCTTGAGTAAGTGGTCCCCAGGTCCAAGGTGGTGGGGTTACAGTTTGCTTTTATACATTTTAGGGAGACAGGAGTTATAACCAAGGACATAAATCAACACTTGGAAGGTATGCATTGGTTTGGCCCCAAAATGCAGGGTATCTTAAAGCAGGGGCTTACAGGTTAGAGGTACATGCAGAGATTCTTTAATTTACAGTTGGTTGGAAGAGTTAAGCTTTGCCTAAAGACTTCAGGTCAGTACAAAGGAATGTTAAGGAGGCCTGCTATGTGTCGCGTGATGCTATACAGGGTCAGGATGGAAAGTAAACCGCGTTATACCTGGGTAATAAAAAAAAAAAAGGTTTTTAACAAGATTTTATGGGCCAGGCATAGTGGCTCACACCTATAATCCCAGCACTTCAGGGAGACCGAAGCGGATGGATTGTTTGAGTCCAGGAGTTCAAGACCAGCCTGGGCAACATGGTGAAACCCTGTCTCTACAAAAAAATACGAAAAATTAACTAGGCGTGGTAGCACACGCCTAGATTCCAGGAACCTGGGAGGCTGAGGTGGGAGGATGGCTGGAGCCTGGGCGGTTGAGGCTGCAATGAGATGCAACAGAGCAAGACTCTGTCTCAAAAAAGAAAACCAATGTTATGGTTTGTAGGGTGTTACTTAACCCTTGCCTGGCATGGCCTTAGGTCCTATTTATAATTGGTATCTTACTGCCACAAGAGTCTGTTCTGTCAGTCTTATGATCTCTGTTTTAATGTTAATGACGGTCAGTTGTGTCCAAACTCCAGCAGGAAGAGGGCCTAATAAGGCAAGTCCACCCTGCCTTCCTGTCATGGCCCAGAATTCTGTTTTTAAGGTTTTTCTGGTGTCCTCTTGGCCAAGAGGAGATCTATTCAGTTGGTCTGGAGACTTTTAAGATTTTAATTTTAGTCTACAACTCTATACACAAACACCCCATACATACAGGCACAAATACCCTATGTACAGACACCACACACATGCATACTACACACTTACACATACCACATACATGCATACCACACAAGCATATCATACACACAGACACCTCATAGAGTGCGTGCACATGCACACACACACAGGCTGCCTCAAACTGAGAAGGGTTCCCTGGACTTTCAGTTCAGCAAATCCCAACATTTGAACATTGGTGCTAACTTAGGACCAGCCCCCAGGCCGGTCGCATGGCACTGTACGTGTGAAAGTGCATGTTTGCACCAGTGTGTGTGCAGGGCTGTGTCTGGGAAGAGGCGTGCTACATATGAGGAAGCAGCCAGAGCAGCTCGGTGGTCATTGTTGTGCCCCCACCTGCAGGGCTGGTTCTCAATCGGAACCTCTCCATCTCGGAGAACCGCACCATGCAGCTGGCTGTGCTGGTCAATGACTCGGACTTCCAGGGCCCAGGAGCGGGCGTCCTCTTGCTCCACTTCAACGTGTCGGTGCTGCCGGTCAGCCTGCACCTGCCCAGTAGCTACTCCCTCTCTGTGAGCAGGAGGGCTCGTCGATTTGCCCAGGTGAGCCCACACCCACTGCCCGTCTGGGGAAGATTGAAGGGCCAAGGGACATGGGGGCACAGGGAGGCAGGTGACACTGCCTCTTGACCCAACCAGCACAGAGTAGACTGGGTGGAGTCCTGAACCCAGGGCCAGGAGGTACAGCTGGGTGCACAGAAGAGGCCTGGGAGAGCTCACAGTGGGCGGGGCTAGGGGCTCCTTGGGCCTCTCTTTTTTCCCCCTTTCCATTCTTGGTATCTTTAAAATGTTTTTTCAAAAATGCAAGAGCAATGCTGGGTAAATCTACATATATGGTGACTTGGAAAAATCTTCCTGGTAAATTGGTAAGTGAGAGTGGCTTGCAGAGATGTTGGTCCCCACGTGACTCCCTTTGTGCAAAAGCAGATCTTTCCTGACCGGGATCTGCAAGTGTGCAGACATCACAGTGCTGTCCACAGTCATGCCCTCAGGGGGAGGCAGAAGACGCTTCCACTTTTTACCTTTTGTAACTAGGTTTGCTAAAAAGCGTACATTTATATTTGTCTTTGGAAAATAATGATTAGAAAGAGAACACATAAAAGTAATAAATACTCATTAAAGAAGATGAGGCATGAGGTGTGATCCCTTCTGCCTGCAGGTGCCAGTGTTGCACGTCATGGCGTTCTTTCTGGGATGTTTCTCGTAAGCACTTATTAAGTTGACTTGAAACTGCAGCACGCATGGTCTCACATGCCGCTCTCCCTCGCAGAGCAGCCCGCAGCGCCTCCTCTTCAGAGGGCCATTGGCCAGTTCTTTCAGGTGGTTCTGTGCCCACATCAGCTCCTGTCAGCCACCTGTGTCCAGCCCACAAGGGAGCCCACCCTTGGACATATCCAAGCTCCCGACCACCCACATGGCCTTTAATGAGAGAGGGATCAGAGACGGAGGGGCGACAAGGCAGAGGGACCTGGGGGTCTCACAGGGGGCGGGGCAGGAGCAGGCATTGCTGGAGGTGAGTCACCTGCCCTCTGTCAGGCTCAAGAACGAGGGCCTGAATCCCAGTCCAGCCTCAGCCTCACTGTGGTCTCACCCCTCTCCCCAGTTTGTAAAGCTGTGAATTAGGGACAGGAACCCTGGACAATTTGGAGAGTCACAAGAGAATTTGGAAGTGGGCTTTGTAGGGGGAAGTGAGGAGGCCCAGGAAGCTGGTTTTTGCTGTGGTCACATGGGCCTGGGAGAGCCCAGCCCTACTCTGGCTGGCCCCTGTCTCACCATCTGTGGAACTTTTGGTTTCAAGCAACTGCAAGAGTTGCCATGAGGCTGAAAGAATTCAGCTGCCTGGCTCCAGGACCTGGCATCCCCAGGAGAGGCCCCTCTTTCCCAGGGGCTCTGGTCAAAGTCCCAGGGAGGCCCCTTGGTCCTGGCTCCAGGGCCTGGCATCCCCAGGAGAGGTCCCTCTTTCTCAGGGGCTCTAGTCAAAGTCCCAGGGAGGCCCCTTGGTCCTGGCTCCAGGGCCTGGCATCCCCAGGAGAAGAGGCCCCTCTTTCCCAGGGACTCTAGTCAAAGTCCCAGGGAGGCCCCTTGGTCCTGCATGGGCTGGGGCAACCATGCTCCCGAGTGTTGTGGCTGGGGTTCAGTGCTCTGACCAGGGGACACCAGGGCAGGGTGGACCTCTAAACCCTGTGCACTGAGGGAGGAGTAAGGGATCCCCAGAGCACTGCTGGGGCAGCTGGGGAGGAGCGTGGGAGACATTCTGGTGGCCTTGGTGTCTGAGTGAGGGAGAAAAGGGGAGTAAAGGGTTAAGTCAGGGCCTGCCTGGGGCTTTTCCTGCCACCAAACTGAACCTCGAGGCCCTGGGTTGCTTTGACCTCCGGCTCCCAGGAACAGAGGCAGCTGGTGACATGTGGCCTGAGTGGAGCTGGGCAGGGCAGGGCCGGGGCAGGTGGGTGGGTCTGCAGGCTCTGAGGGGATGGAGGACAGGGCGCTCAGCGGGGCTGCTGTCTCCAGGTTCAGTTGGGGGCTGTTCCAGAACTCAGGCTGTGTGGGAACCTCTACCCTCAGGCCACTGCAGGCCGGTCCAGCGGCCTGGTTAAGGTGTTCCCCTGTGCCCCCCTAGATCGGGAAAGTCTGTGTGGAAAACTGCCAGGCGTTCAGTGGCATCAATGTCCAGTACGAGCTGCATTCCTCCGGCGCCAACTGCAGCACACTAGGGGTGGTCACCTCGGCCGAGGACACCTCGGGGATCCTGTTTGTGAACGACACCAAGGCCCTGCGACGGCCCAAGTGTGCTGAGCTTCACTACATGGTGGTGGCCACCAACCATCAGACCTCCAGGCAGGCCCAGGCCCAGCTGCTTGTCACGGTGGAGGGGTTGTGTGAGTGCCTGCTCCAGGAAGGAATGGGTTGGGGACCTGGGGGCTTCCGGAGCCTGGGCCTGCTGCCCTTTGAAAAAAACAGTACAGCTGCAAGGCTTAGCTGGGGAGTGGGGAAGGCATGGACCAGCTTTACCGTGAGTGATCCAGCAATAAATGGTTGTCCCTTCCAGATAACATACAGGACCTTGGTTAAATTTGAATTTTAGGTAAACAACAGGCAGTTTTTTGGTATAGGTGTGTTCTGTGCAACCTTTGCAGCTTCTCGAAAGACACACCTCCAGGCCCATCCATGCCCTCTTAGGAACATGCTGAGCAGCTGCCATTCATGCCATTCATTATGTATCTGAAATGCAGGTCCCACAGGGCGTCCTCAGCATCGTTGGCCGAATCTGGCTGCCCTCACATCCTTCCTCCTGTACTTACCCCAGCCCAGGTGACCCCCGCTTTGTGACCATGATGTCCTGTACCCTGCCCTGTGCTCTGTGCTCCTGGCACTGGCTTTGCTGCCCTGGGTCTGCCACTCCAGTCCCCTTGGGCTCCATCTGTGAGGTAGCTCAGCTGGTACTGTTCCCTGTCCTTGGGCACTGGCTGGGCGCTGGACCCAGGCCAGCCCCCTGTGACCCTGCTTGTCTGCCACCTGCAGATGTGGCCGAGGAGGCGGGCTGCCCCCTGTCCTGTGCAGTCAGCAAGAGACGGCCAGAGTGTGAGGAGTGTGGCGGCCTGGGCTCCCCAACGGGCAGATGTGAGTGGAGGCAAGGAGATGGCAAAGGTAGGTCCTGGAAACGCCCGCGGGATGCCTGCAGGGGCAACGGCACCGGTAGAAACGGGGTCCTGGGGCCCTGCCAGCCTGGGGTGGCTCTCCCTGCTCCAGGTCTGCTTCTGGCACCTCATCCCCCACGTGGCTCACGATGCCAGCATAGTGGGCAGCAGTGCAGGGCTGGGGAGAGGGCTTGTGAATACAGCAAATGGTCCCCAGGCTGGAGTCACTCTGGACTTGGGAAGGTCTGAACCAAAGTTGGGATGTGCTGGGGACAGAATGGCCTTTTCTGGGAAGTCCTCGTCCAGGGGATGTGGTGTGGGCAGGGGACTCATTGTCTGCATCAGCCAGAGGCCAGCCTGGGTGTGCCCACCACCATGAGGGGCCCTCACTGTGCAGCCCTGAGAGGGTCCTGGCCTCTTTGCTGTAAGGGCCACCTGTGTGAGGAACCCCCCATACCTCCTCTCCCATAAGCTGTGGCTCCCCAGGATGCTTCCGCTGGCAAGGCTCTGTGTGTGGTGTTTCCCTGCTCAGGGCTCCATTTGCTCCTCCCTAGAGGGGCAGGATCGGCCTAGGAGGTGGTGGGGGCATGTGGCGGGGCTCCCACGTGGGTGACAGCCTGCTGTGTGTCCTGTGCAGGGATCACCAGGAACTTCTCCACCTGCTCTCCCAGCACCAAGACTTGCCCCGATGGCCACTGCGATGTCGTGGAGACCCAAGACATCAACATTTGCCCCCAGGACTGCCTCCGTAAGCAGGGTTTAATGAGGGCATGGGAACAGGTAGGAGATAGTAGGGGAAACCTGGATCCCACATGCACTTCAGCCAGAGTTGCCAGGGCTGTCAGTTTTATGCATCAAGCTGAGCCTCTTGTGCATTTCAGCGTCACCCTGGCCATGGGGAGGGAGCAGGGAGGGTCAGGGACGGGGGGAGGCAGGGACACACAGACTGTCCAGGTCCCTGCTGAGGCCCCAGAAATTGGCACACACAGATTTCAGAAGCAGAGAATGGTCAATAGGGACACTGACAGGGAAAGTGTGGCCTGAGCTAGACAAGGGACCCTGCAATGTGCTGGTCAGGCCACCAGGCTCCAGTTTTGGAGGCAGAGTCCTTTGTTCAGATGAAATGTTAGGAGGGGGCCTGGCTTCACCCATGGCTTCAGAAAGGCACTGTGACCGAACCCTGCCCGGCTGAGCTAAGCTGCTGGGCGCCTGGCCTCCCTGGGCCTATGCTTGCAACACCAGTTGGGGAGGGGGGCTCCTTGGGACAGTGCCCTCGAAATATGGGGGCCTGGGGTGGTCAGGCACCCCAGGGGGCTGAGTGGGCTATGTCTGCCCTCAGGGGGCAGCATTGTCGGCGGGCATGAGCCCGGGGAGCCCCGGGGGATTAAAGCTGGCTATGGTACCTGCAACTGCTTCCCTGAGGAGGAGAAGTGCTTCTGCGAGCCCGAAGACATCCAGGGTGAGTGGGTGGCAGCCACGACCACCACCACCTCCTGGGCCCATGGAGGTCTCAACAGCACATCTGAGGTCCCAACAAGGGAGGAAATTGCTGGGAGGCGAGTGGGCCCCATGAGACTTCCCTCCCTCCCTCTGGGCCTCTGTTACTCCATTGGTGCAACCCAGGAGAGGGGCCAGAGCCCCTATAAAGTGTCCTCTGGCCCTAAGTTCTATGATGAACAGGCCAGAAAAGCAGTTCTTCCACCAAACAACTTGTCAGGGTGACAGGTCACTATCCCTGTGACCATGCATCTGGGACCCACCCAGGAACACATTTCAAGGTCAACAGGTATGGTGGGTGGCACAGCCACACTGACTACACTCAGGGATGCGGTTCTGCCTGAGCACAGGGACACATTTCTGGTATTGAGTTTTCCGGTATTATATAGCCCTACATCATGAGCCACTTAACATTTTCATAAAGAAAATGCCAAAGACATTTGGAACAGAGGAAAATTTTAACCTCCCCTGCCAGCCCTCCAGTGCCAGCTGGTGTAGTGAGCATAGCCTCTGCTGTGTGACCTTGGCAGGCTGCTCAGCCTCTCTGAGCCTCTGTCACCATCTGTAAGAGGGCAATAGTAGTCTAGGAGGGGGCAGTAAATGGCAGTACCCATGCCCAATGGGGTGTTCTCAGGCCTTCCCACACCTTCATGGCCACTTCCCCGCTGGTGCGGACACGGTTGGCTGGAGAGCCATGCGGTGGAGCATGCGCAGCCTGTACCCAGTGGTGCCGAGCCTCTGGGCCTGGAGCCTCACACCGCCCCCACCCACAGATCCACTGTGCGACGAGCTGTGCCGCACGGTGATTGCAGCCGCCGTCCTCTTCTCCTTCATCGTTTCGGTGCTGCTGTCTGCCTTCTGCATCCACCGCTACCACAAGTTTGCCCACAAGCCACCCATCCCCTCAGCTGAGATGACCTTTCGGAGGCCCGCCCAGGCCTTCCCGGTCAGCTACTCCTCTTCCGGCGCCCGCCGGCCCTCGCTCGACTCCATGGAGAACCAGGTCTCCGTGGATGCCTTCAAGATCCCGGTGAGGGTCCCTATGGGGCAGGGAAGACCACCTGCCCTCCCCAGATGCCTTCCAGGGAGGGAGGCCAGCTGGGGAGAGGAGGCTATCCCGTGAGGGACTGCCAACACTGGGCAGACGAGGCCCGTGCTCTGCCCCTATTTCCGTAGGGTGCTGTGTGGGGACAGTCTGTGGGGTGGAACTATGATGAGGTGCTGTTCCCATCCAGGTGAGAGGCAGTGGTCAGGGTCGCAGCATCGGGCAGGGGAGCAGCAGTGTGGACGGAGGGACACTGAAATCAGAGGGGGGTGCCTCTCTGGAGAGCCTGGCCTGCAGGTCTGCGTGTGTTGCTCAGAGCCTCCAGGCTGTGCTGAGCACCCTGGAGCCTCCCTGTCCCGGCCAGGCCTGCTGTGTGGTGCTTCTGCCCTCTTCTGGTGGTGGCCTGCCCCTTCAGTGTCCCCACTAGCACTGTCCAGGGCGCTGGAAGCCAAGCCTCGTTCTGGGAGGAAAAGAGGCTCAGAGCCAAGGGTGTGAGTGAACGGTGAGCCATGCAGCTTATGGTGGCGTGAATACCTCCTCGGCAGGAGCCTCCAGGGAGGAAACTGAGCACCCAGTGGCCACAGGGCCCTGGCAGTTGCCATCTCAGGCTGGGAGGTAACCTGGGATTCCTGGGAGGGGCCACATCCCACAGCACAGCTCAGCCTGAGGCCTCGGCCCTGGAGCCTCCGTTCAGGCAACACCCAGCCCTCGGTAAGGGTGTGGGCCAAGGAGGCCTTCCCAGATGTGGCCACTGCCACTTCCCCACCAGCTTTCCTAGTTGGTGGTCCCCGTCCTGGCCTGGCCGCAGCTTACTCTCGTGGCAGGGCTCTAGGAGGAGCCTCCAGAGTCCTTCATAAACCCAGCGGGTTTGTGCAAGGCTGCCCAGGAAGGCCACACTGGTCTGGGCTGCTGCTGGCAGAGACCATCACCCTAACCCCAATCAGCTCCAGAGTCACACTCATCAGCAGCAGGTCTTGGACCTGTGACTCAACCTCAGTTTTTGAGAGGATCAGGTTGATGTCGCCCTCATGTGCTTACTGCAGTCTCTGGAGTGTGGTAAACGGGTTTCCAGTGCCAGCTGTGGAGGTGACAGCCGCAGGGAAGCCATGGCGATGTCGACACTGACCTTGACTGTGGCTTCCCAGGGAACATGGGGCCAGACCAGGATAGCCCAGGAGCAGGAGATCTGGGGTGACAGATGCCCATAGCTGGCACATCAGGGGAGGGTTCCTGGATCCTGGCAGGCTTTGGCCTCCCTGGTCAGAGTTCAAGCACTGGGGGTGGGGGTCCGGGAAGGCATCCGAAGCAGTCCCAAGTGGGCCCGATGTGTGGATAGAACTTTGATGGGAGGGCAGGGTGGTGGTGCCAGCAGGCAGAGTAAACGGGTACGTGAAGGCAGGTGGCAGCCCTGGAGGAGCAGTGGTTCCACACTTGGAGGCAGAACATGGTGGCGCCTTTCTTTGCAGGGGTGGCTATGTAGAGAAGTTGCCCTGGACACTTCCATTGTAGCCGGAGGTCCTGGGCTGGACCAGTGCTCATTTAGTCCTGGGGCAGGGGTCAGGGGAGACAGTAGACCAAGAGCCAGAGACGGTCAGAGTACTGAGTCCAAGCCATGCTGTGACCACACCTGTCATGTAGCAGCTCTCAGGGGCCTGGCTGTGGGGTCCTGCCCTGGACAGAGACAGGCAGCATTGCCTCTGGCTCAGATGACAGCTGGTTCTCTGCACATTGGAACTTGTCCATGGGGGCTCCTTTAAGGGTCTTGCCTTCTTCCTCCCCTGTCATCCTTACACTTTTCTCCCCTCTTCTCCCACTTCCCTCATCTCCAACATAGGAGGATCCAAAGTGGGAATTCCCTCGGAAGAACTTGGTTCTTGGAAAAACTCTAGGAGAAGGTGAATTTGGAAAAGTGGTCAAGGCAACGGCCTTCCGTCTGAAAGGCAGAGCAGGGTACACCACAGTGGCCGTGAAGATGCTGAAAGGTACCTGCCAGGCACAGGCACAGTGCACCTGGGGGAGTCTCTGGGGCGAGGGGGCGGGGTGAGGCCCCTCCTGCCCAGCATGGGACCCCGAAGAGCCCCCATTGCTGTTTTAGAGCGGCTGCAGTTGGGGGACCCCTCCCATGGACCACTTGGGCCTAGAGAAGCAGAGCGAGGACTTTGTTCTCCCTGGAAGGCTCTAGAGGTGCTGCTGTGCCAGTGCCACTGAAGATCTAAGCTTTAAACATTTAAAAAGCCCTTTGGTTTTGAGCTGATAGCCGTCTTCACTCCAGTCTACCCCATTCATTCCTCTCAGCCCAGTGTCTCCTGGGGTCCTGGTGAAGAGACCACCAGTAAGGACTGGCCCTCAATCTCAAGAGACCCCCATGGGCCTATCTCGCCTGCATGCCCAGTCATGCCACAAGTTTGGCTCTTGATAGGCACATGCACCTACCCGCACAGGCCTGCATGTCTGAGGCTGGTGACTGCACTGAGTGGCCCCCTCTTCTGTGGCCAGGCCCCAGCCCTGTGGACAGCCAGGCTGAATGGCAGTGAGGGAGAGTAGTTGGTGTACACAAGAATTATTTGCAGTAGTCAGGGGCTGCACAGCACAGGGTGCTTCCAGATGCCTACCCAGCCCCTCAGACTGGGTTCACCTCCAAGCCAGTAAAACCCTGGACTTTCCAGGGGTACGGGGAGACCCTTGGATTTCCTTCAGCCATGCACAGCCCCAGGCCGCCCACACCTGATCCAAGGGGTCCTGGGGCCCCGACTCCCCAAGTCCTCCTATGTTGGAAATGTCCTCTCCCTTCCAGACAATCCTTCAGGACAGAGGAGGTGGCACGGCACAGCTGGGCAGTGGGACAGCTGACCTGGGAGGGATGGCTTAGCCATGTATTCTGACTCTTGGAATACCTTCAGGCCCAGGCACCTGCTGGGCATTCCAGGACAGCACTGGCCACCCTCGGGACACGTGTGCTGGGCAGGCCACCCCTGTGGTGCCTCGTCCTCTTTCCATCATGCCTCTACAGTTAGACTCTCTGGGGAATCATGCTGTTCATTAAGAATAAGCCAGAATGTCAGGTGTTCAGTGCACTGGTAACACTGTTTTATCTCAGGTGCTAATGTGGGTCTTCTTAGTAACTAACGGAGTTTGAGCTGCTGACATGCGTGTGTGCTGGATACATCAGCAGCATGGGAGATGCCTGGGCTCCAGGCTGGCCATCTCAGACGGGAGTGGGAAACGGGGAGCCTGATCGTGGTGTGTGGACTTCCTTCATGGCTCTCCACCTTCTCCAGGGCCTCTTCCCACAAGTCAGCGTGGGTACCTGGGGGAGTCCCCTCACCTTTCCAGAAGGATTAAGGAGGGGGATTTCTGTGGACCACTGTCTTCTAAAGACGACTACAGGAACATAATGCCACATACACAGGTGGCCCAGCCCTGGGACACTGGGGAAAGATCTGGCATGTGTGGATGCTGGCTCCTCAGGGTGCTTCTTCCTCAGGGCGGATGAAGCCCCTGTCCACTGACCCCAAAGGCTGGGAGAAGCCTCAAGCAGCATCGTCCTTGCAGGCCTCTCTGTCTGAACTTGGGCAAGGCAATGCCGGTCCATCCTGACCGGTATGGTCATGGAAGGGGCTTCCAGGAGGGATCGTTTGCAACCTGCTCTGTGCTGCATTTCAGAGAACGCCTCCCCGAGTGAGCTGCGAGACCTGCTGTCAGAGTTCAACCTCCTGAAGCAGGTCAACCACCCACATGTCATCAAATTGTATGGTGCCTGCAGCCAGGATGGTAAGGCGAGCTGCAGGGTGAGGTGGGCAGCCACAGCACCCAGGCTGGGGGCTCCATACAGCCCTGTTCTCCCTCTTTCTCCCTTTCCTGACTGCTCCTGCCCTGTTTCCTATTCTCCCTCTTTCTGGAAGCCTGGCTCAGGCTCCAGCCTGGAGCTTGTGTCTAGCTGAGTCCACGGGCTTAGTGGGCACTTCCCATCAGAGGGGCCGCGTGCTAGCAGCACTCCGTGGGCCCAGAGGGCTACTCAGAGGTCTCTGGTGTGACATTGCCATGTGTCCTCACCCAGTTCCGGGCTAAGCCTGCAGTGCAGGGAGCTCTAGGAATGGCCAGTGCATCCTGGGTACTAGGGTACCCTGGGTACCAGAGGGCACTAGGTGTGCTGTGACCTCAGGTGACCCCAACCCCGCCCTGCATGACAGGAACTTTGCCACCATTTCTCAGATAAAGATCCAGGAGACCAGCCTGGTTTGTTGGTTTTTCAAACCACCGTGCTGCTCAGGGGCTTCCCAGCATGCATGTGCGGGTGTGTGTGAGAGGGATAGGGAAACACCGGGAGCACGCAGTAGGCATTCTGCTCAGCACCAGTAGAGTTGGAGGCTGGACCTGGGGCAGGACAGGCGGGAACAGGGAGCAGGCTGTGTCCAGAGCCCAGCGCCAGGCGGGAACCCTTGCATCTGCGCAGGTCTCTGCCTCCATCAGCACCCCCAGCCTGCACTGGGGCAGGACCCAGGAGGCAAAAAGGCATGGGGTCCTAGCATCAGGGGGGGTGCCTCCCAGGGCAGTGTCACCTGCCTCAGGCAACTCTAGAAGGAGGCGCCCACACGAGCAGCAGGAGGCAGAGAGCAAGTGGTTCAAGAGAGAACTGAGACTTCAAGGTCTTCGATCTCCACGGAGCTGCAACTGTACTGCCCGAGGCAGGGCTGTGTCTGCCCCCTTACTCATTGGGTGGCTGGGCCTGGGGGTCCTGCAGCCTCCCACCCCGGCTCCCGAAAGACCGGAGCTGCCTGACCTGCACGCCCAGGGCCCCCTTTCTCCACCCCCAGGCCCGCTCCTCCTCATTGTGGAGTACGCCAAGTATGGTTCCCTGCGGGGCTTCCTCCGTGAGAGCCGCAAGGTGGGGCCCGGCTACCTGGGCAGTGGAGGCAGCCGCAACTCCAGCTCCCTGGACCACCCAGACGAGCGGGCCCTCACCATGGGCGACCTCATCTCATTTGCCTGGCAGATCTCACGGGGGATGCAGTACCTGGCCGAGATGAAGGTGCGTGCATATGGCTGTGCACCCAGCCAGCCCCGGTCAGGCCACACCCTGACCCACCATGTCCCTGCCACCCACATCCTGGCCTGCCACGCCCCCACCATGCCCCGCTCTAACCCACCACGCCCCTGCCATGCCACACCCCCGGCCCAGGTCTCACCAGGCCGCTACCCGGGCCACACCCTACCCCTCTGCTGGTCAAACCAGGCTGAGCCAGTGACCGCTGCCGCTGGGCCATGGCCTGAGGACTTGTGCTGTTTTTCCTCGCAGCTCGTTCATCGGGACTTGGCAGCCAGAAACATCCTGGTAGCTGAGGGGCGGAAGATGAAGATTTCGGATTTCGGCCTGTCCCGAGATGTTTATGAAGAGGATTCCTACGTGAAGAGGAGCAAGGTGCCCAGTCCTGGGGGTGAGGCAGGGCTCCCGGAGATCCCAGCTGCACCACAGGGCGGGCAGTGCCCTTGAGACATCTAGGAAAGATACTGAAGATTTGTGGAACTCTAAGTTTTTTATAGCCCTCACCCCAAATCTTTCTGACCCTGGGTCCCCAAGGACCCAGTTAGAACTCCGCTCAGCCTCTGGCATGTCCTTCTCCTCCACGGCCTCGAGGGCACCCCTCCCCTGCAGCACTGACTGAGGTCCTTGCCACACTTTTCAGAGGCCACCTCATGCTGCGGAACTAACAGTCCTCTTCTGCAGAATAAAGGTCACCGTTCTGATGTGACCTTCGCTCTTTTCTCAAAGAAAGGTGGGATGAAATTAGCAGGATCGTCATTCTTTGCAGAAAGGAATGTACTGCTTTACAAGTGAGGCTTCTCCTGCACAAGGGCCTTGGATGCTGGGCTGGGTGAGTTTAGAGGCATAGGAACCCCCTGGACAGGATCCAGAAACGCAGCCCAGCTTTGTCCAAGGCTATGAAACAGGCAGTGGGCACCCTTGAGGACACCTGGTTCCCTACCGTGGTCCTAGTCCCAGGACAACTGCCTTGGCCCTTAGGTTTTCTGCCCACGTCAGCCCCTCTCCTGCAGCCTCCCAGTGGCAGCCCAGGCAGGTCAAGTTCAGGGGGCTGCTCAAAGGCCATGCTACCCAGACGTTCAGAGCAGACCCTGCTCAAAAAAGAAGAAGAAAACAAAACAAAACAAAACACACACACACACACAAAAGGCAACTTCCTATGATTCAGCTTTACTCTGAGGGGTCTGGAAAAGTCATTTGTGTTGCCAGGAGTTGTGAGCTGTTCAGTTTCTTCTGGGGTTTCCCTTGTGACAGCAGATCTCAGAACTGCTGCAGGGGAAGGGGTAGGGGCTGGCCCGGGCTCTGTGGAGGGTGTGGACACAGCCTTCCTGTTGATGTACTGGTCCTCCAGGGAGAGAAGCTGAAGGCATTCCTACACAAGGTGTGCAGGCTGCACTGTCACACACTGCTACCAAGACAGCCACAGTGCCCTAAGGACATAAATCCCTAATGTATTTAAGTAAAAGAAGTGACAGTAATGTTGTGTTACAACCTAAGGCAGACATTTTTAAAATGGACTTGCACCTTCAGGCTTGTCTGTGGAGAAGCTGTTTCTCAAGTTACCCTGGAAAGGATTTGTTAGGTCAGACCCCAGCACTGATGAGGGATGTAGGAGGCCGGGGACACTCATTCAGAGATACTAAAAGCACCCTGCAACACAATAAGAGAGAAAAAACAGCCTCCCCCAAGGCACATAGACAAATCCCTTCCCTCAAGGCTCTTTCAGTGTGGTAGCTGCTGGCAAAGTGCCCAACATGGAAATGCTAGATGTTGGTTTCCCAAACACATTGGCCCTCAGAACCCTAGCAGAGATCTTGCTGGAGGAGTTCCAGGCCCATGCATAGGGAAGCACTGCTCTACACCACCAGCAGGCCTGTGTCGTGTGACAAACTGGCCCTGTGTGGCTGTGGGCAGGCAGCTGACTCCCGCCAGCATCTCAGCAATCCCCAGGAGGTTCAGGCTGAAGCTCCAGCCCCTTCAAAGCTGTGTGTGGCCAGCTCTGTGCCCAGGAGTGTCTACAGCACTCTGGCTGCTGAAAGCTCAGGGATAGGGCCTGGCCTTCTCCGTCACCCCTCCTTCCTAGAGCGTCAGAGTAACTTAAATGTCTTTCTTCCATCCCCTCTTTAGGGTCGGATTCCAGTTAAATGGATGGCAATTGAATCTCTTTTTGATCATATCTACACCACCCAAAGTGATGTGTAAGTGTGGGTGTTGCTGTCTTGGGGTGGGGGTTACAGAAACACCCTTATATGTGTAGTCAGGCCACGGCACCCCATCCATGCAGTTTGGCCAGGGAATTGCGCTGGCCCTGAGCACCTGTCTGCAGTGTCAGCCCTCCACAATGACCCCCTCACTGAGGGGACTTCATGATGTATTCATGAGGCGAATGGCTGGGCCAGGCCAGCCTGCAGTTCTGAAAGCTCCAGTGGAGCATGAGAGCAGAGCAGGTGGCCAGTAACCCAGCCTCCCCCGCCCTTGCCAGCCCCACGCCTCCCTCTGGGCCCCTTGGTGACTCACAGGCCCAGCCCAGCAGTTACCCTCCTGTGGTCCTGAATAGGGCTTTGGGCTCAGGCAGAGTGCCCAGTGACTTGCCCCCCCCCACAAGTGGAGCTTGGGGACTCCACCTGAAGATGGCCTTGTGTGAGTTTATAGATTGGTGTGCCCCAAACTGCTCAAAGGTGAAAGCCAAAAATTCATTATTCAGGTCCAGTGACAAGAGCTGATCGCTTTCAAAACACAGGATTCTTGCCTCTAAAGTGTTCTATAGTCAGCAGAGGTATGATGTGCATCTCTTTTTTTTTTTTTTTTTTTTTTTTTTTTTTTTGATGGGAGGATAGGGTCTCACTCTGTCACCCAGGTTGGAGTGCAGTGGCACAATACTGGCTCACTGCAACCTCCACCTCCCGAGTTTAAGCGATTCCTGTGCCTCAGCCTCCTGAGTAGCTGGGATTACAGGCACGCGCCACCTCTCCTGGCTCATTTTTTTGTATTTTTTAGTAGGGACAGGGTTTCACCATGTTGGTCATGCTGGTCTCGAATCCTGACCTCAAATGATCCGCCCACCTCAGCCTCCCAAAGTGCTGGGATTACAGGCGTGAGCCACCACACCTGGCCAACACGTGCATCTTAAATACTGTGGGCTGTGAGCAACTATTTGGACAACAGCTTCCCAATTACATAAGCTGAGTGTAGGCTAGTTGGAAAAGGCAGAGAGAAAAGCATAAAGAAGAGACTGAATGTCACTGGACCACACCGCACAGTGACTTCTGGCTGCCCTCTGGTGTGCTCTGTGGTGTGCACATGTATGCTTTTTATTGCCCTAAATGGGCTCATGCGATGCTGTTTTGTGATATGATATTGTTCCCATTGCACAGCAAGTTTTCCTTCACAGTTAAAATGTTTTTCTATAGCTTTTTTCCTTCTAAGATTTTACGAAATTTTCCAAGCACATAGAAATGGTGAAAGAACTATATAAGGCACTCTGAGTCTGGTGGTCTGCATTCTCACCCCTTTAAGTGCCAAACCTCATGTGCCCCTTGTGGGTGTGGCTGCTCCAATGGGAGTGGCTTGGGCAGGGACTTCAGCTTCATGGAGCAGGGGCCAGGCAGGCAGGCAGCCCTTCCGCACCTTCATACTACATCCATCTGAGCAACCAGACCCAGGCTGACATCTGTGAGCATCTGTGCTTGGGGCCGACAGGGTCAGCAGGTGCTTGGTGGTGGGGACTGACATCTGGGCCCCCCGGAGGGCACTGTGAGGGCCAGGTGGAACCACTCACTGGTCTTCTCGCTCTCTGCAGATGGTCTTTCGGTGTCCTGCTGTGGGAGATTGTGACCCTAGGGGGCAACCCCTATCCTGGGATTCCTCCTGAGCGGCTCTTCAACCTTCTGAAGACCGGCCACCGGATGGAGAGGCCAGACAACTGCAGCGAGGAGATGTGAGCGGGAACCGGCTTTGGCCCAGCCTCACTTGGGAAGGGAGGGGACACCTGTGTGCATTCCCTCCCCATCCAGAGCAGCCCCAGGAGAAACCAGGAGAAGTGGGGGCTAGGGAGTGGGCAGGGCAGAGGCTAGAGAGCCATCCTTGGGTGTTGCCGTAGATGCTGGGGGTCCTACCCTGCTGAGGGCTGGTGGGCTTGCTAGGGGCTCTTATAAAAATGAGCGAGAGCAGGGACTGGTGCAATACAAGCTCGAAGGCTGAGAGCTGTCCCAGCATGACACTTGGGGAGGAGCTAGTAATTCCAAATGGCCCAGGGGGCACGTGTTAAGGGGTGCCTGAGCAGAGGTACAGAGCCAGGCAGGGGCAGCCTGGGCTGCAACCTGAGAGGTTGAAGCCTTTACACTCTTGGGAGAGATGGTCTTAGAAACCAGGCCGAGAACAGATGAGAAAGGGCTGCCCAGAGGCAGAGATGCTTGGTCCATGCATTCCATAGAGTGGGGCGTGGAGGGGGCATCCTGAGCCAAGAAGCCAGGCACCACCTCCCTGGGCCCCCAGCTGGTGGCCAGTTGGAGCACTGTGGTCTGCCTGGGCACCCAGCAAGCAAGGACAGTGCAGGACAGACATGCGATTGCCAAAGGTTCTTGTTTGTCTGTCTCCACACCTAAAAGCCCTCAGTCAATTCATCCTTCTTGAGAGTTTTAAGGACGGGCACTTATCACTTAGCTGCCAGAGCAGGCATAGTATCCAGTGAGCTGTTTACCAGTGTCTTTGCAAGGGAAGTAAAAATGAATCTCCCTTGGAGGGAAGGGAAGCCTATAGGATTCTGGACCACAGCTCTGGGAGACCTGAGCACAGTGGCCCATGGGCTGGGATCCTGCAGACAGGCCATGCCCCAGTCCCAGCAAGGCTCAGAGATGTCAGCGATGCAGAAATAGCTTTGGGGTTGGAAACAGAGCACACTGGGCCCAGGGTGCAGGGCAGGGTGAGGTGACTGTGGTGGGCTGTCCTTCCGAGACCTGGCCTTGCTTGGGTCACATTGGCCTGTCTGCTCTTCCCACCAGGTACCGCCTGATGCTGCAGTGCTGGAAGCAGGAGCCAGACAAAAGGCCAGTGTTTGCGGACATCAGCAAAGACCTGGAGAAGATGATGGTTAAGAGCAGAGTGAGTGCCTGGGGCCAATTCCCACCAGCTGAAAGTGGCATGGGAGACTCCAGCCTCACCCCAGGCAGTGGTTTTAGCCCTCAGAGTTCCCAGTGGGAGGCCACAGTGGGATTGTGCAGAGAGAGACAGTCATGCTCTCCCCTGCGTGCAGACAGCAGACCGAACCCTTCTCAGGCCAGGCTGCTTGGGCTTCTTTTCAAGTCATGAAGAAACCAAGATTCTTGACATTTAGGAAGAGCTCTCTACAGACAGGCATGGGAAGAAAATATTCCAAAGCCAAAAAAATTGTTTTCCATAATGGAAAATGAGAAAGTCGAGTTGAAGCAAGTGCCCAAAATTCAGATGCCCAGAGGGGAGCCCAGCTGGGGGAGGGCAGTGAGTAAGGAGCAGTGGAGACTGTGACAAACAGCCAGGCCCCTCCAAAAGGTTCCTTGCTGGGGGACCTGTGGCCTGCAGAGAAAGGAGCCAGGAATGGACCGGGTCTTCTGAATTTTACGAGGTTTATGTTGTCTCCCAGTTTTTATTGTTAACAATTCATTTAAATTTCCCAGAGCCGAATGTAGGCAAAACAAAGCTTATCGGGGGGTGACCAGAGTCAGCCCGCGTGCCTGGAAGTACAGTTTGTGAGTTCTACACATTTTCAACCAGTTTCATCAGGCAGCTGCTAGGACCCGTACTGTGTCTCAGAGGCTGGGAATCCAAATAAACAAGACCAGCACAGCCCTGTCCTCAAGGGGTTTACACACAGACCTTCTCTTAACATTGGCACATTTACTGAATTGTCACTTCTTCAGACTTGGATAGCAGGATGCAGGACCTAGGACCCTGTAGGAACACTTCACATCACTGTCTCGCTTGGATGAAAACTCCCAAGTCCTGAGAATGCAGGGTTGTTCTAAACAGAAGTGATCACTGGTTCTGGCCTTCCTAGAACAGTGCTGAGAAACAGCCAGGAAAACACTGGGCCCCTCTGTGCACATTCAAGCTGGGCATTGAAAGGAGCAGATGCAAGTGGCCCCTCATGCTGGGGAGCCTGTGCCTGTAGCAGGGTCATGTGCACCCTGACAGCACTGTCAGATTTCAGAAGTCTCAGCCCTGACGTGATGTGCTAGATGACAGGGATCCTTGGGGAAAGCTGGAAAACATCCTGCAGGCTGGGGCTGCATCCTGGCATGTCGCTGCAGTGGGCTCCCCCAGAGCCCAAGGGTTTGTCAGCGGGCCAGTTCCCTGCCACCCGTCTCCGAGTTGGGCCAGGGGCAGCTGGATGAGGCATCCCCTGGGGCTGCCCTCCAAGCCCTGGAGATAGGACCCTGAGGGAGCACATTTCTGTCCCCAGGGAGGTGACTTTCTAGGGGAAGAGACAGAATAGACAACAACCAGGGGGAGCCATGGGGACCTCAGAGCAGGACCAGGCTAGCCAGGAGTCCTGGGAGCTCAGCGCAGCCTGGCCCTGGTCTCCCGGAGAGGCCGGGAGATTGTTGCAAGGTGGAGACTCAGCCAGAGCCTCTGCCCTGAGGGCGGCAGGGGACCTGAGTTGTGTCTAGTCGTGGCGCATGGCGTGGAGTGACCGGCCATCTCTCTCTTCTAGGACTACTTGGACCTTGCGGCGTCCACTCCGTCCGACTCCCTGCTTTATGACGACGGCCTCTCAGAGGAGGAGACACCCCTGGTGGACTGTAATAATGCCCCCCTCCCTCGAGCCCTCCCTTCCACATGGATTGAAAACAAACTCTATGGTAGAATTTCCCATGCATTTACTAGATTCTAGCACTGCTGTCCCCTCTGCACTATCCTTCCTCTCTGTGATGCTTTTTAAAAATGTTTCTGGTCTGAACAAAACCAAAGTCTTGCTCTGAACCTTTTTATTTGTAAATGTCTGACTTTGCATCCAGTTTACATTTAGGCATTTTTGCAACTATGTTTTTCTAAAAGGATGTGAAAATAAGTGTAATTACCACATCGCCCAGCAACTTAGGATGGTAGAGGAAAAAACAGATCAGGGTGGAACTCTCAGGGGAGACCAAGAACAGGCTGAATAAGGCATTTCTATGGTGGGAATCAAGTCATAGCACTTCTACTTTAACTACGTGGATAAATTTACAAATCTGGGGAGGTATTCAGTTGAGAAAGGAGCTGCCAGCACCACCCACCCTGCACTGGGAACACAGCCAGGTTCCCCCAGACCCCTCCTGGGCAGACGGGTGCCTCTCAGAGGCCACCTGGGACTGGCAAGCGGCCACTGGCCAAGCCTCAGCCCCAGTCCCAGTTGCATGTCCTCCATCCAGGGCAGTGAGATTGCAGGAGCTGGCCGGCCCTGGGAGGACACACCCCCACTGCTGTTTTCACATCCTTTGCCTTACCCACCTTCAGGACAGTTGTCACTTACGAAGTCAGTGCTAAAGCCGGAGCAGTTGCTTTTTGAAAGAACATAGTCTGTGGTGCTGTGGTCTTGCAATGGACAGTAAATATGGTTCTTGCCAAAACTCCTTCTTTTGTCTTCGATTAAATACTTGAAATTTTTTTCTGTTTCCTAACTTCATCATTGGTTGTTTGAAATCTTGGAGTTTCAAGCATTTTTTCAAGCTGAGACGGTTCCTTTTGCATGCCTTCTGACTCACTGACTCCTCACTGGCTTTGTGTCTAGTGCCACACTCCATTTGTGCTGACGATGCTATGAGGCTGGCCCGCGTGCGCCCTCGATTTGGAAGGTCCTCTTCTCCGTTGTAGGCTCCAGACAACAGACGAGTGCCTCCTTTATGTTAGAGAACGTTTTATAGAACGTTCCCACTGCAGTAAGCCAATGAGTGTAGCAGTGTGCTGTTGCCCTACACTGCCTTAGAAAAAGTTAAGCAGTTTGACAAATATACATCAGATTTGAGAGTCTCAAGCTCATAAAAGTCAAATTGGTAGTGTCTGTTAAGTTACATTTACCAAGAGAGCACATGATATTCCCTTAACGATAACAGTGTTTTTGGAAACCTGAAGCACAAAACCATTAATATAATTGGCACAGAAACCATGAGTTTGGTTTGAACATCAAAGGGAGTTTTGCCAAGGCCTTACTGTCTGCACTTGAAGTTTTGGTTCTTCAGTGCAGAACAAATGATCTGTTTTCATTTTTAGGCATGTCAGACCCGAACTGGCCTGGAGAGAGTCCTGTACCACTCACGAGAGCTGATGGCACTAACACTGGGTTTCCAAGATATGCAAATGATAGTGTATATGCTAACTGGATGCTTTCACCCTCAGCGGCAAAATTAATGGACACGTTTGATAGTTAACATTTCTTTGTGAAAGGTAATGAACTCACAAGGGGAAGAAACATGCTGAGAATGGAAAGTCTACCGGCCCTTTCTTTGTGAACGTCACATTGGCCAAGCCATGTTCAGTTCCCAGGCGGCAGACTCGTTTTTGGTAGTTTGTTTTAACTTCCAAGGTGGTTTTACTTCTGATAGCCGGTGATTTTCCCTCCTAGCAGACATGCCACACCGGATAAGAGCTCTGAGTCTTAGTGGTTAAGCATTCCTTTCTCTTCAGTGCCCAGCAGCGCCCGGTATTGGTCTGTGTCCATCAGTGACCGCCAACGTTCTGTGTTCACATGTGTGGGTCCACTGCTTACTACCTGGTGTATGAAATTGGACCTGAACTGTTGGATTTTTCTGGTTGCCGCCAAACAAGGCAAAAAAGTTTAACATGAAGCACACACACACAAAAGGCAGTAGGAAAAATGCTGGCCCAGATGACTTGTCCTTGTTCAGAATGAGAGCCTGGGAGGGCCTGGGGGTAGTGTCAATGCCCCTCCAGGGCTGGAGGGGCAGAGGGGACCCGAGGATGGGCCTGGGCTCAGCATTCGAGATCTTGAGAATGATTTTTTTTAATCATACAACATTTTCTTAGGAAGACATTTGGTTTTCATCATGATTAAGATGATTCCTAGATTTAGCACAATGGAGAGATTTGATGCCATCTTTACTGTGTGGATGGTGGTATCAGGGAAGAGGGCTCACAAGACACATTTGTCCCCCGGGCCCACCACATCATCCTCATATGTTCGGCACCGAGCAACCACTACCCCTGATGAGAACAGTATGAAGAAAGGGGGCTGTTGGAGTCCCAGGACTGCTGACAGCAAAGGCTTTGCTGCTGTGAATCCCACCTGCCACCAGCCTGCAGCACACCCCACAGCCAAGTAGAGGCGAAAGCAGTGGCTCCTCTGACCTGTTAGGAGCAGATAGGGCTTGTACTCACTTTAATTTGAATCTTATCAACTTACTCATAAAGGGACAGGCTAACTAGCTGTGTTAGAAGTAGCAATGACAATGACAAAGGACTGCTACACCTCTGATTACAATTCTGATGTGAAAAAGATGGTGTTTGGCTCTTATAGAGCCTGTGTGAAAGGCCCATGGATCAGTTCTTCCTGTGTTTGTAATTTAATGCTGCTACAAGACGTTTCTGTTTCTTAGATTCTGACCATGACTCATAAGCTTCTTGTCATTCTTCATCGCTTGTTTGTGGTCATAGACGCACAACACTCCTCCAGTCTTGTGGGGGCAGCTTTTGGGAAGTCCCAGCAGCTCTCCTGGCTGTGTTGTCAGCACTGTAACTTCGCAGAAAAGAGTCGGATTACCAAAACACTGCCTGCTCTTCAGACTTAAAGCACTGATAGGACTTAAAATAGTCTCATTCAAATACTGTATTTTATATATGCATTTCACAAAAACAGCAAAATTATGGCATTTTGTGAGGCCAAGGCTTGGATGTGTGCGTAATAGAGCATTATGGTGTGTGTGCACACACCCAGAGGGAGAGTTTGAAAAATGCTTGTTGGACACCTAACCTGGCTCTAATTTGGGCTGTTTTTCAGATACACTGTGATAAGTTCTTTTACAAATATCTATAGACATGGTAAACTTTTGGTTTTCAGATATGCTTAATGATAGTCTTACTAAATGCGGAAATAAGAATGAACTCTCAAATTATTAAATAAACTCTCAAATTATTAAAAATGCCTACACAGTAAGTGTGAATTGCTGCAACAGGTTTGTTCTCAGGAGGGTAAGAACTCCAGGTCTAAACAGCTGACCCAGTGATGGGGAATTTATCCTTGACCAATAACCTAATTGTCTTTTCCTGAGTTATACAAGTCCCCATCCTTATTAGCTCTATTGGAATTTTCATACACATATATGCAGAAGTTCCTAAGTATTAAGTATTACTGAGTATTAAGTAGCAATCTGTCAGTTATTAAAATTTGTAAAATCTATTTATGAAAGGTCATTAAACTAGACCGTGTTCCTTTTTTTGTAATCAAGGTGACTAAGAAAATCAGTTGTGTAAATAAAATCATGTATCGTAAAATGTGTAACCTTTTTTTTCTTTTTAACATTCTAGTTGAAAACAGATTTCTGATTTTGTAGTCTGACGTTTTAAATATTGTATGGAAACTACAAAATCAGAAATCTATTGTTTTAAATATTTAAAATGTCACAAAGAATTCTATCATGATAACCACTGAGGCATCAGTAGTGGTCGAGGACTAGGGGGGTCCCGTGATATCGCTGGTTTATCTGGTACATTTGCATGTGAATAGGCACATTGATAGAAACTGAAAAACTCAGCTAACTCCACTGTTCAAGGAATCCCTTCCTTAAGGTGTTCATCCCTAGAACAAAGCAGCAGCCAGCATCGAGTTTAGATCTTCACAGTTCTCTAGCAATTTGCTTGTTGCTGATCTTTTGAAGTTGGCCTTAGAGTGTGTGAGAGAGAATATAAAATGCCGAGTCCTGAGGAAGGCCATTAGAAGTGTGAGGGAAAATGCTGTCCTGACCACCATGAAGCCTGACACACTCACTGCTTCTGTTTATGTCTTCCCGAGGAATTCTCTGAGCTTCTCATGCTGGGCGTGGAGCTGTGGGTCAGTGGGCAAATGGGAGTTGTCAACATCAGTCTAATCTGTGATTGCATTGTATCAGATGGCAAGGGCCTGTGTCACACGCATACATGTGTGTACACGTGGGCCTTTGCATGCTTTGCCAGGTGGTGTACACACAGGCCTTTGCACACCTCGCCCAGTGCCTGCCCCAGGCCCATGAGGCCCCGCCTCCCAGCCGTGGGTGCCTGTGTCTGCTCACAGCTTCCTCCTTCAACCTGGACCACAGGAGCTGGAAGTGAATGTAATCTCCAGAGCCAGCTGTTTGCTATAGCCTTTACCACTGAAAGTAGAAATCTATGCCAAGAAAAGTTAATACTAAAAGCCACCCCAATGTAGACTCTACATTAGGACTATTTGAGTGTGTATGTTTACTGTTTTATTTTCCCCTAAAAACACATTTTCTGCCAACCTTCATGAAGGATTTCTTCCCACCACAAGGCCAGCTTATATGGTCAGAAATCTAGTTGAAATGTGCCTGAGAACAGGGCTTGAACAAATACTTCATATACAAAAGAAATTTTGAAGGGAAAGCACAATTTCTAACTTTAAGAAAGCCTCTCCCGCAGGCAGGTGGAGCAGTTAGTAGTGCCTCTCCCTGCCTCGGATGCGTTTACACATAGTGTCTGGCACACCTTGTTTTATTGCTCTTTGCTTTATTGTGTTTTTCACAAATTGAAATTTTGTGGTAACACTGAATCATCGGGAAAGTCTATCAGGGCCATTCTTCCAACAACCCACACTCATTTCATGTCTCTCTATCACTACTGTTGAGCAATAAAGTATCTTCAAACCAAGGTATGTACATTGTTTTTTAGACATAGTGCTGTCACATACTTAACAGACTCCAGTACAGTGTAAGTGTAACTTTTATATGCACTGGGAAACCAAGAAACTTGTGTGGCTCACTTATTTAGGATCTTCAATCTTCTTTGCTTTACAGGGGTGGTCTGGAACAGTATCTCTGAGGTTCGCCTGTGTTTAGTGGTTCTAGGAAGTCCTAGGGAATCCTAACCTCTGTGGCCCTGAGAAAGGTGGAAAGGTGGGTCTGCAGAGTGCATGCCACAGTGTGTATGGCCCCTCGCGTCTTCCACATGAAGCTGCTCTAGGTGTGTGTCCTAGGCTTGCGTGCCTGCAGGGAAAGCACCCTCTCTGCCAGGGCTGCCTGCTGTGGCCCTGTCCCTTCTCCACGGCAGCAGCCTTGACTGAAACTGTAGAGTCTCCCACCTCTTCAGGGAGCTGGGACTCAGGAAGGATCATGTTAGCTGAGGTCATAAGAACCTGTGTGTAGAGAACTTTTCAGCGTGGGGCCACTACTGTGTCCTGCTGCTGAGGCCAGGTAGTGGCCGTCTGAGGGCTGATAGGGCTGGCTGCTCCCAGGAGTTAAGGAGGCAAACACTCTGAACACCCTGGAGAAATCACATTTTATCTTCGCAACTACAAATTTGAGTGCTGTGTCAAGTGACCAGGTATTTTTGCAGATGTCTCTGAGGTGTTAAATCACAGGACCTGGCCAAGTGAGATCTCTCAGCTGGACCCCGGGCAGGGGATCCTTTATGGGGGCACATCTCACTGTGGGGGCTGCAGAAATGTGAAGTTCAGCATGGAGGGAGCTTGTGGTCTAAGACTACCCCAGGCACTGTGACTACCACACTAAAAGAGATCATAAACCTGCATCCTCTCAGATGATACTGAGCAGTTCAAGCTAAAAATGTGCTGGCTGGCAAACAAGGTAAGTGAATTCTAAAGCTAAAAAAAAATCATTTTTCATTGTTTGAGAAGGAAACAAGTTTGATATTTCATACACAGACAATATTTACCATGCAGACTGTCGATTTCTTGAATAAAAATATGAAATTCATTTAAAACATTCAAGTTTTTCAAGTTTTTGTGTATTTTTGTCAATGTAAACAGAATCAGAGCCCTGTTTCTTGGCTGCTCGATTTTCTCACCTGCACATCAATCCTTTTCTGTACTCTCCCATGGAAGAAGGGGTCTCTGGGGGCAAGAGACTTTGGTCAGAGGACTGCAGGGAGCCAGGCAGTACCCAGTCTCCCTAGGGCGTGTGCCTTGCTCCATATTTTGTGCCTTTCTTCTGGGAGTTTTCAAGAGCTTGAGAATTTTCCTGAAGACTCTGGCCACAGGGCCTGAAGCTCTTAGATTGCTCAGAACCCCATGGTAAAGGAGCATACTGAGGGTTTGAGGGATTTCAGTGTCTGGGAAGAAAAGTAAGATCATAGCAAATGATTTCTAAAAATAGGAATGACACCAAGGATGGAAGAGCTCTAGTGTCTCACAAGATAGTCACTGGAAAAAGTAGAGGAAGTGTGGTTGGACACTATTTTTAAAGAGATATTCACACAATTACCTATAATCTTTAATTTTGTAGAAATAAGCAAAGGCTACCCATATGAGAACCCACAGGAGCCATTGGTTCTGAACTTGCTATAGCAAGAGAGTCAGCCAGCATCACTTAAGGCAGACACTCAAGATAGGCAGAGGAGTGGGAAAGCCTCATAGTAAAAAATAAAAGGTGGGGAGGGTGAGGAGAAGGCTTCGGGGATGCTGTGATTGGGGCTTGTTGGCCTGGGGAAGCTGGAGGCAGCTAACCAGGAGGGCCTCTTATGTGATTGGTTTGGGGGACACAGGTGGCTTTCTCTGTTTAGTTCAGAGGGCAAAAAATAGGGAAGCTTGTAGTTCCTGACCAAGTTGTAATCATTCTGGGATAATTGTTGCAGAGGCTATGGTTTAGCTTCCTGGCTAGTTCTGCAGAGAATCTGATCCAAATCTTCTGGCCATATGTGGTCTGGCCATTGTCTGTTTGCATGTTCAGTCTCTCAGTCCCCCTTGTTGGTCATTTTCTTGTTTGTAAAAGGTTGGCCGACTCAAGGAAGTCTAGAGATCCAGCTCTTCACTGCTCAGAGATTATTCAGTTGTCTTTCCGGTCAACTGTACTGTGAGATCTTGATCCTTCTGTTGTTGTAGCATCATAGTGCTCATTTGACAAGAATGGGATGCAGTGGAACAACATCAGGACCACTATGACAGAAATAAGAGCAACTGTCCCTATGACACGCTTAGAACGCAAACCTCAGCTGACCAATGCAGGCAAAGAGCAAATCCCATATAGGCCATGAGGATCAACCTTAGAAAGCCAAATAGCTTTTGCCTCAAGGTGATCTGTGGCCTGTTCTACCTTTCTGTTTCACTGATCCAGGTGCAGTATTGGCAGTGGCAGAGGCCTTTACCAACCAACAAGAAATCTACAGCAATGAGACTGTCCATCACTACTCATGCCAATGAGTTGAGACTGATAGGTGCCCCATCTAGTGAAGAAGTGGCATTGCTAATGACTTCTGCCAGGGTTAATGATAAGTTTATGACAACAGGATTCCCACAGATGAGAACATTGCTCTGATTGTTTGCATAAACAATGAGTCAGTAACTCCCCAGTTAGAGTGCTGAATAACCAAGGGTGATGTTACGGTTTTTGTAGTTTTACACCAACCAGTTTGTGGTAAATCATTACAGCAACCCTAGGAAAACCAACGCACCATTTGTATGTATGGTTAATGTGTGGCAGGTGTTTAAAGGTATTGCAGGATATTGGTGCTTTTCCTTTCCCCAGTGCACTTCATTGATCTGAAGTGAGGGATTTTTTTGTCTTGATTTTTGTTTTGCAAGATTGAACAATCTTTTTTCCCGGTGTCCCTTCTGTTCACAGTATCTATAATTGCCCTTGTCAGTAGCTGACTGGTTGGGTAGGGGCCACCCAGCAGTTTGATCGGCAGGGCCACAAGTTAATTTTGAGTCCTGTCTTATTTTTGTTCTAAAGCACTTTTAAAATGTCTGCCAGGTGTTGTAGTTCAGGTTAAGGGGTTATTTCCCATTCTCATTTCTGTTTTTGATTAGGTCTCCAATTTCAGGTTTAGCTCCTTGAAAACAAGCAATGAAAGGGTTAATTTCTAGACTCCCAAATGGTACAATGTATTTTCTAGCCTATCCCAAAAAACATACTGTAGGTTCATCTTTTTTTTTTTTTTGCATGACACTGGATTATGGTCTAATCTTTCTTTTGTGGGGGGGCGGGGAATGTTTGAGGTATGGCTTTTAGAAGACTTTGCCCTATTTTGAGCCTCAACTCTCAGTTTCATTGTGGGCGGTGTGATCCTAGGATTCCTTTTGGGGGAGTCTAGTCAACTTTTGCCATTCAGGATTTAGCATGCAAGGTTCTGGTCAATGTGTGTACAAGTTGATATGGGTTAGGTAACACTGGGTCACATGCTTCCCCCGCCACTTTTTTTGAGATAGGGTCTTGCTCTGCCACCAAGGCTAGAGTGCAGTGGTGCAATCACGGCTCACTGCAGCCTCGACCTCCTGGGCTCAAGTGATCCTACCATCTGAGCCTCTCGAGTAGCTAGGACTACAGGCACACACCACCATGCCTGGGTTTTTGTTGTTGTTGTTACTGTTTTCCATAGAGATGGAGATCTCACTATGTTGCTCAGGCTGGTCTCGAACTTGTAGGCTCCGGCAGTCCATGCTGATTCACCTTCCAAAATGATGGGATTACAGGTGTGAGCCATAGTGCCTGGCCAAAGTATTTTTAATTATTTTATGAATAGTTGTTGATCTTGCCCGGGTTTGGGGAAATCCTTAATTTTGGTTATTAATTTAGCTTGGGTCTAAGGTTTAAATTCCACATTTGTCTGTATATGGGGCTCATGGAGGGATAGGCCTTCAGAGAGGCAGCCGGCATCCTGGGGTCATAGGAGGGTTGTTGTGAAAGGGCAGGGATCTGGACAAGAGAAAGAGAAGGGAAGTGTGGACAGATGTGTGGAAGGAAAGAGATCAGAAGGATAAGGGGGAGAAGAGGGAAAGCTGTATTAGGGAAGCAAATGGATGACAAGCAGAAGGATTTACTAGGAAAATGAGTCTAGGTTGTTGCTGCTTAAATTTGCCAAATCGCTCATTAGCTTTAGCCAAAGAGTCTTTCAGGGAAGCACTTTTGAATCAGAATATCATTTGGAGACCTCTGACTACCAATCAAAAAAGGCTGCTCACTGGGCCTGAGAAATCTTATTCTCTTTCATTTCTTTTTTTTTTTTGAGATGGAGTCTCACTCTGTCACGCAAGTTGGAGTGCAGTGGTGCGATCTCAGCTCACTGCAAGCTCTGCCTCCCAGGTTCACGCCATTCTCCTGCCTCAGCCTCCCGAGTAGCTGGGACTACAGGCGCCCGCCACCTCGCCCGGCTAGTTTTTTGTATTTTTTAGTAGAGACGGGGTTTCACCGGGTTAGCCAGGATGGTCTTGATCTCCTGACCTTGTGATCCACACGTCTCGGCCTCCCAAAGTGCTGGGATTACAGGCAAGAGCCACGGCGCCCGGCCTCTCTTTCATTTCTAAGGTATCTCTCAAATGAGCAATTTTGTTCAATTAGATGTTCTCCAAATAAGATCTTCACCAAATCAACCTTGGTGAAGTTAATGCTTTTCAGAGATGGGCATGAGAATTGGAATTATTAAGAGAGTATATGTAAGAAGCAGGAGTTTTTCCTGGAGGAGGAGAAGATTTAAACTTAGACAACACCATGAATGCTGGCTGGTGAGGCTGGCAAGAAATGGAATGTTTGTGTCTCTCAGGACATGAAAGTGAGATGGAAGGAGAACCTCATTCAGTTTTACCAGAAACCCACAGCAAAGTTTGTCCAAGTAGAGGCCGGTGTGATGAGAACTGCTAACTCATGGGCTGCGGGGCTGGCTCAAATAAGAGGCTTATGAGCCCCATGCCTATGTCCTTTCCTATGGTTTCCTTATGACAAGCAGCACTTTTTGACAGCACAACACTAAACACTAACACAAAATACAGTGAAAAGGGATGAAAAAGAATGGCCTGAATCCACTAGAGATGCCAGACAAATGAGAATCTATAACAACCAGAGTACAAAACTGAGAATAAGCCAGAGACCTCCACGCAGAGTGAGGTTAGCCCTAGTGCTGACCACATCGGTGCACTTGATAGGCCGAGAACATGGAGGCACAAGGGGCCTCTGGGTGGCACAACGGTTGGAAGCCTGGGGACCTCAGGTACAAGCAGTACAGACTTACCATGGGATCACCAGGAAAACTGTGCAACCAGCAAAGGCTATTTATTCACAACTTGCTATAGCGGGGGAACCAGCCAGCATCACTTGCTTTTGGTAGAAATTTAAAAGGCCCGAAAGGGATGGGAAACTTTTTATAGTTTTTTTTTTTTTTTTTTTTTAAGTATCAGATTGGAAGTCGTTGGGGGGAAATGTTTTTAATTACATATTTTCTGATATTAAACCCAACACAGTTGTACTTTAATATTTTACCTAGGGGAACTACTTATTTTACAACTATATCCCAGTGTATCACTCATGATCAGCCACATAATTTGAATCATGCATTATCTTCTCTCCACAAATTACATACATTTAGGATTTGGCTACTTAAAAAAATCATTAAAAAGTAACAATTTAAATCCATTGATGGGAGAACCTCAGTTAGTTTAAAAACAACTGCCAGGCGGGGTGACTCATGCCTGTAATGCCGGCACTTTGGGAGGCCGAAGCTGGAAGACGGCTTGAGCCCAGGAGTTCCAGGCTAGCCTAGGCAACACAGGGAGGCCCCATCTCTACCAAAAAAAAAAACCTAAAAATTAGCCAGGCGTGGTGGCATGCACCTGTGGTCCCAGCTACTCGGGAAGCTGAGGCGAGAGGATCTCTGGAGTCGGAGGTGGGGAGGCTGCAGTGAGCAGTGATGGCTCCACTGCATTCCAGCCTGGGCGACGGAGCGGGACCCTGTATCAAAAAATAGATGAATAAATAAATAAAAACAATTCTAATGGAAGATTCGAAGAGCAATTTAAAACATGTGGCAACTAACCCTGACCCTGCGGCTTCAGTCTCCTCGCCGCTAGCTGAGGGCCGTGGCCGCTGCACAGGTGCTTGGGAGGATTCAGGGATTCAGGCAGCGCCCGCCGCCCGTGTGCCAGACGTGCGGCCACACGGTAGGAGCAGTAAGACGTATCCAGGGAGAAAACAAGTCCATGAATGAGAAAGGAAACCCAGAGTTTGTAGGACTAGGAGGACAAAGAAAAAATTGCTGGCGGCGGAGGGCGAAGCTCAGCTGTGCGTGGCAGATGGGAATTTTCTCGGTGGCGGCTCCTCTTTCTAGAGGGTTTCCCAGCGTCCCCTCCCCCGCCAGCCCACGGTGACGCGCCCGGTGCCCACCAGAGCCGGCTCTCCGCGCCGCTGCGCCTTCGCTCGCCCGCTTAGGCCGTGCTCGGGGTGGCGTGGGAGACAGAGTGCCCGGAGAGGACCCTGGAACACACAGTGGCATGGAAGACGCCTAGAAAAGGGCTTCTCTTCCCACTCACGAAAATCAGTGTGTGAGCTCGAAGCCATTTCCCAGCGTGTCCGCCTCAACTCCCTCCTTTAACAGATGAGGGAACTCCTCCAGGGAAATGCAATGATGCGCCCACGGCTGCCGGCGGCCCAGCGCCAAAGGACGTTCCACAGCCCTGGGGCCCGAAGTCCTCGGCTCGGCTGCCACGCAGGCTCCGCGGCCCCGCTCGGGCTCCCAGGATCGGCTCCCGGGCTGGACAGCGCTGCGGTCCACGAGTCCGGGCAGGGGCGCCTGCAGGCCGGAGCGGTTTCCTGCCTCGGGCATTCTACTGCCTCCACAAACGGTTTTTGGAGGCACACACACAGATACTTTAACACGTCGGTGATGAATCGGCACCCAGCTGCCAGTGGCGGAGCTTCCTGGGCGGGGCCGCGGGCGCGAGGCAGCCTCATTTCCTCGCGCGCGCCGGAAGTGGCCGCTCAGGCGCGGCGGCGCGCCCGGGGGGTGGGTGGCTGAGGCGACGGCGGCGGCGGCGGCCTGCCGCCTGGGTGTGCCAGCGGCGCAGGAGGCTGTGCAGCTCAGAGCGGGCGAGCGCGGTGAGTACCTGGCCCGGCCTTGCCCGCCCGCCCGCGACTCCCGCCGGCTCGAGCCCGGGCGGTGCGGGCGCCCGGGCTGCGGGCTCCTGTCTGGTCGGGTGGGGTCGCCTCGCGGACGGGTCCTGCGGGGGGCCCTGTCCCTCAGGGATGAGCCTGCCGGAGTAGGCTCCGGTTTTGGGGAGAGCGCAGCCAGAGACGGTTGGTTCGCGTGTCAGTGTTGGTCTTTTTTTTTTTTTTTTTCTTTTTTACCAACTCATCACCATCTCTGCTCCTCTCAGTGGATAAACTTTGGTCAGCGGTGACCTTGTCATCGCGTTAGAATAGTTCTGCCCGCAGCCCCTCTTTATCTGTAGATGGCAGAGCGAGCGCCGGTAAAGATGCTTGGTCGTGGAGGGCTCAGTGGGGCGGAGGAGACGGAAAGCCTCTGGTGTTGTCGGAGAATGCACCTTAAAAATGACCCTACCCTTGAGCAACGCAGGAAGCACGACAGTGATACTTCTGTTTGTGATGATGGTATTGGCGGTATGATAGTTTGATTATGCATCTGAAGCTTTTCTTCCTGAGCCCTTGGCTTGTTAAACTTGGAGGCGTTTTCTAGCATGCTTTTGAGATAGATGTGGGATGTCGTGACGTTTCACCGTCATTCAAGGCTCGCAGGAGCAGGGCCTTCATGTCTGGTAATTAATGTTTTTTGAATGTTGTATTAAAATAGTATTTTCGATCTTGGAAGTAAGAAGCCAAGTATTTTAGGACTGAGTGTTAGCGTTCATTTTGTACTATTATTTTTATACCAACTTTAAACATAAAGTTGTCATGTAACTAAAAGAATGAAAAAAGATGTTGAATTTCCAATATTTGTGGCTCAGAGGATTTTGGCCTAACTAAGCACAGTTCCAACCAGTTTAGAAGCTGCATTTTTCTCTTTGTTTTTGTTGAGGCATACAATACATATGAAATCAATAAGAGCACGAATTTTTTTTTTTTATACTTTAAGTTATAGGGTACATGTGCATAACGTGCAGGTTCGTTACATATGTATACTTGTGCCATGTTGGTGTGCTGCACCCATCAACTCGTCAGTACCCATCAACTCGTCGTTTACATCAGGTATAACTCCCAATGCAATCCCTCCCCCCTCCCCCCTCCCCATGATAGGCCCCAGTGTGTGATGTTCCCCTTCCCGAGTCCAAGTGATCTCATTGTTCAGTTCCCACCTATGAGTGAGAACATGCGGTGTTTGGTTTTCTGTTCTTGTGATAGTTTGCTAAGAATGATGGTTTCCAGCTGCATCCATGTCCCTACAAAGGACACAAACTCATCCAAGAGCACGAATCTTAATTGTGCAGCTCAATGAATTTTTACATACTTATTACCCTGTGGAATCACTAGATATATCAAATTATAATCGTAGAACATTTCCATCATCCTGTTTCCCTGTGCTTCTTCCAAGTCAATTATATCCTTGTTTTCCCATCTGTATTCTAACTTCTCTTATCAGCTTTTAGTTTTCTGTTTTGAGCTTCATGTTAATGGATTGCATAGTATTCTCAGCATATTGTTTGTGAGACACACTCATGCTATTTCATGGTATTGTATTATTATTGTGTAATAGTCCATTGAATAATATGTGACTACTCTTCAGTTGATGGACATTTTTGTTCCCAATTTTTGTATATGATGTATTTTGGATATTAAGAATGCTGTGGGCCCGGCATGGTGGCTGAGGCCTGTTATCCCAGCGCTTGCAGAGGCCAAGGTGGGTGGATCACTTGGTCAGGAGTTCGAGACCAGCCTGGCAAATATGGTGAAACCCCATCTCTACTAAAAATATGAAAATTAGCCAGGCGTGGTGGTGGATGCCTGTAAGCCCAGCTACTGGGGAGGCTGAGGCAGGAGGTGGAGGTTACAGTGAGCCAAGATCGTGCCTCTACACTCCAGCCTGGTCGGCAGAGCCTGACTCAGTCTCAAAAAGAAAAAAAAAAAAAAGAATACTGTGGACATCCTTGTAAATTAAATGTCTTGGTGAGCATCTGTATGCATTTCTGTCAGCTATGGAATGACTGAGTCATGACATAGGCAGAAAATTACCAACATGGAGTCATTACCAACCTTACCATTACCAACCAAAGGCAGAAAATTTAACCAACATGGAGTCATGTTTTTTTTAATGTAATAGAATTACTTACTTTAACTAATATAACATTCAAGGTTGGTTTAAAAAAAGCATAACTATTAAGAGCTCAAGACGTAAGTGATTCATTCATTACCATGTTATTATTTACCCGTTGGATTGCACATTTATGACCGTCTTCTGTCGGACTGTCATTGTTTGTTTAACTGTTAGACAAGTCTGTTAGAGCTGGTGAGGATCTGACTCTGAAGTTTAGCATAACGTTTACGTAAGAACTATGTTACTCAAGTTAGTGGTTTTTTAGAGGAAATGAAATACCAAAAGGATATGACTGAAAGTGGATTGAAGAAGCATGGGACTGCAAGTCAAAGAACTTAACATTGTTATTGTCATGCTACACAAGCACTAGGTATAAGTGTAAAATTGAATTATAAGGCTAGTTACAAATGTGAATTTACAGCAGGAGTACAGTGATTTTCATATGGACTGAGATACTACTAGCACATTTATAATGTGAACACACAACAAAAATCACTAAAAATTTGTGGGAAATCAGTAGCATCTAAGAGAAGCTTCAGACCAAACAAATATAAGAACTAGGCACTGAAGCAGTGGAGCTAATGTAAGACAAAAGAAAACTTTAAAATAAGTATTAGTATCTTCAAATTTGTTAAGGTATTATGCCTGCTGAACACATACAGGGTGACATGAAAAAAAAAACAATCAATTCTTGAATATTTAAACATGGAAAGTAGGAAAGAGCCAGGTGTGGTGGCTCATGCCTGTAATTCCAACACTTTGGAAGGCCGAGGCAGGAGGATCGCTGGATCCCAGGAGTTTGAGACCAGCCTAGGCAACATAATGAGATCCTGTCTCTACAAATAATTTTTTTTTTTTTTTTTTTGAGACAGAGTCTGGCTCTGTTGCCCAGGCTGGAGTTCAGTGGCATGATCTCGGCTCACTGCAAGCTCCGCTTCCCAGGTTCACGCTATTCTCCTGCCTCAGTCTCCTGAGTAGCTGGAACTACAGGTGCCCGCCACCACGCCCGGCTAATTTTTGTATTTTTAGTAGAGATGTGGTTTCACCGTGTTAGCCAGGATGGTCTCGATCTCCTGACCTCATGATCTACCTGCCTCGGCCTCCCAAAGTGCTGGGATTACAGGCATGAGCCACCGCACCTGGCCACAAATAATTTTTAAAATTAGCAGTATGGTAGTGCACACCTGTCATCCCAGCTGTTCAGGCAGTGGAGGCTGCCACTGCACTTCAGCCTGACAGTGAAACTGTCTCAAAAAAAAAAAAAAAAGAAAGAAAGAAAAAGAAAGTGGAAAAGACTAGCCATGACATGCAAAGTAGATCTAGAAGAGCCAATATACATCTAATAGGAGTTCCAGGAGGCGTTAGAAATCGGAAAAGAGGAAATAACCACAGAGATAACAGACATCCGGAAGGTAGGAGTGTCCAGGCAGAGTCTTGGGCAGCCTGAGCCAGGGAGAAATAAGTATCAGAGGACAAAGGACTGGCAAATATAGATCAACCCTTCCCTCTCTGGTCTGTTTCTTCATCTATACAGTGGGGATGATCAAGAAGTATGCATTTTTCTGAGAGCTTATGGAAGGATGTATTAGGTTTGCTGACTGTTCCCCACTCTTCTTCCCTACCAGCTCACAGCAGGGATTGGGGTTGTGTGTCCTTATATGATGTTTAACCTTTTTATCACACGTATTTATTTTGTGAAATTTTTAAAGTGTAACAATTTTTTAGAAGTTAAAGCAGGGATTGCCAGTATGGCTGGCTACCTATTTTAGTATAGCCTGTGATCTAAGGCTGGCTTTTACACTTTTTATTTTTGTATTTTGTATTTATTTATTTATTTATTCATTTATTTTTGAGACAGAGTCTTGCTCTGTCGCCCAGGCTGGAGTGCAGTGGCGCAATCTCAGCTTACTGCAACCTCTGTTTCCTGGGTTCAAGTGATTCTTCTGCCTCAGCCTCCTGAGTAGCTGGGTTTACAGGTGCACACCACCATGCCCGGCTAATTTTTGTATTTTTAGTAGAGACAGGGTTTCATCATGTTCCTCAGGCTGGTCTTGAACTCCTGACCTCGTGATCTGCCTGCCTCAGCCTCCCAAAGTGCTGGGATTACACGCGTGAGCCACCGTGCCCAAGCCCTACATTTTTTAATGCTTTGGGGAGAAAAAAAAAATAATGCTTTTTTGTGCCGCAAAAGCAGAATCAACTGGTTGTGACATTTACTGTCTGACCTAAAATATTTGCTGATTCCTGGTTTAGAGGTCAGAAATGGACTTATGCATATATAGGAATTTTGCTAATGATAAAGGTGGCATTTCAGACTAGTGACAAGAGCATGGATTGCATGATAAATGGCAAGAATTAGCTATCTATTTGAGGGAAAATTTACTTTTATTAGGATTACTTCGGGTAGGGAAGCTAAAATCAAGAAGTAGGAAAAGATTAATAGATTTGAGTCTATTACCACTACCACCACCAACAACAAAACTTTGCTTAATAGGAAATAATACCTAACACTTACTGAGCACTTATGCTTGTCATGTTTTACTTGAATAAGTGTTATAATTATACTCTAAGGTAGGTTCTGCAATTATTCCCACTTAACAGAGGAGGAAACTGAAGTTTACATATATTATGGAATTTGTCTGTAATGAAGAGTAGGAAACCATGATGCAGATCTTTGAATTCAGGCCATCTGGCTCCCAAGCCTATTGTAGACAAGACAAACTGAGAAAAAATATTTGCAACATGGTAACACCATTTTGTAGGTATTATCTACATCAGCACATAGAGATGTATGTAATTCCTTTAAAATATTCTGTTGTGTAAATGTCTT